TCACAATCTGGCTTCAACTTTTCTAGATATCCCTATTACTTTCCCCTCCTCCTCATTTTCCACCAGCTACATTGTTTTTAGACTTATTTGGACTTCATCATACAATAAAGCCCCAGGAGTCTCATACATAATTTGGAAATCTCATTATCTTGCAAAATCAAATTAGCCTTGGTATTCCCACCTCATCAGTGCCCTCTGGCCCTCTGATTGGACCCTCTGACTGGAGGATGGAGCTTTAAGCTCTAAAAACATACTTTTAAAAGAGGACTCAGGTATAAATATTTTTTTACATGTGGTTCCTTTCCCCATTTTTATGATCTCTTTGGGATACAGACCTAGAAATGGTATTGCTGAGTCAAAGGGTATGCACAGTTTTATAGCCCTTTGGGCATAGTTCCAAATTGCTCTCCAGAATGGTTGGATCATTTCACAACTCTGCCAACAATGCATTAGCATTCCAATTTTCCCCCATCTTCTCCAACAGTTACCATTGTCCTGTTTTGTCATGTTAGTCAATCTGATAGGTGTGATGTGGTGCATCAGAGTTGTTTTAATTTTCATTTCTTTAATCAATAGTGATTTAGATTTTTATATGACTATAGATAGCTTTAATTTCTTCATCTGAAAACTGCCTGTTCATATTCTTTGACCATTTATAAATTGGGGAATGACTTGTATTCTTATAAATTTGACTCAGTTCTCTATGTATTTTAGAAATGAGGCCTTTATCAGAGACATTGGCTGTAAAAATTGTTTCCCAGCTTTCTGCTTCCTTTCCAATCTTGGTTGCATTGACTTTGTGCAAAAACTTTTCAATTTAATGTAATCAAAGTCACCCATTTTGCTTTCATAATGTTCTCTATCTCCTGTTTGGTCATAAATTCTTCCCTTCTTCGTAGATCTGACAGGTAAACTATTCCTTGCTCTCCTAGTTTGCTTATAGTATCAGCCTTCATATCTAAATCATGTACCCATTTTGACTTTATCTTGGTATAGGGTACATGACATTGGCCTATACCTAGTTTCTGCCATACTATTTTCCAATTTTCCCAGCAGTTTTTGTTAAATACTAATGTCTTATCACAAAAGCTGGAGATTTTGGATTTATCAAATGGTAGATTATTATAGTCATTGATATTGTGGTTTGCTTACCTCTTCCACTGATCCACCACTCTATTTCTTAGCCAGTACCAAGTAGTTTTGATGAACGCTGCTTTATAATACAATTTAAGATCTGGTATGGCTAGGCCACCTTCCCATGCATTTCTTTTCATTAATTCCCTTGATATTCTGGACCTTTTGTTCTTCCAGATAAATTTTGTTATTATTCTTTCTAGCTCTATAAAATAATTTTTGGTAGTTTGATTGGTATGGCACTGAATAAGTAAATTAATTTAGGTAGAATTGTCATTTTTATTATATTAGCTTGGCCTACCCATGAACAACTGATATTTTTCCGATTATTTAGATCTGACTTTATTTGTGTAACTACATCATTAGATTATTCTATTTTCTTTTTTGAATTGTTGCTATCTTGTTTTTATGTCATCTTCATTTTCAAATATATCCCTCGCCTCTGCCCTCTCCAAAGAGCTATCCCTTCTAACAAAGAATAAGACAGAAAAAAAAGCATTGCTACAAAACTAAACAATGCATTGCCCAAGAGTTGCCAAAGTGATTTACCTAAAGTGCTAAGTCTGACTGTATTACTCTTTGTTGTTTGGTTGTGTTGACTCTTCGTGATCCCATTTGGGATTTTCTTGGCAAAGACACTGGAGTGGCCATTTCCTTCTCCAGCTCATTTTACAGATAAGGAACTGAGGTAAAAAGGGTTAAGTGACTTGCCCAGGGCCACATAGCTTACAAGTGTCTCAGTTTAGATCTGAACTCAGATCTTCCTTATTCCAGGCCTAGCACTCCATCCACTTTGCCATGTAACTGCCCAACCATGTTACTCTACTTCTTCGTAAAACTCCAGTGGCTTCCTATTGCTTCTAAGATGAAATAGAATACTAGGCGTTTAAAGCACTTCACAGTCTGGCCCCAATTTACTTTTCCAGGCTTATTATACATTTACTCCATTTCATAAACTATGGTCCAACTAAACTGACCTTCTTACTACTCCCCATACACAAAACTTCAATGCTAGTCTGTCTCATTGTACCTGCTCTCCCCACGCTCAGAAAGCTCACTTTCCTCATCCCTTAGCATTTTTCCCTACATCTTAGAATTCTTAGAATCCTTTAAGACACAGGATCCCTCCAGCTTTTGGTGTTTTTCCCTTCTCCCCACAATAACCTTTATCTATTTATATATTTACTTGTTGTCTTTCCTCCCCTCTCCCAGACAAAGTTTTTGAGGGCAAGGACTGTTTCACTTTTTCCTTTGTATTCCCACATGATACCTAGAATACAATGTTTGTTGATTGACTCACAGTATATGAATTGTTCCGTATCCACAATTCCCCACCTCTGCAAAGAAGTGAAAGAAGTGCATTTTCTCAACTCTTCTTCTGGCCTAGGCTTGGTCATTATATTTAGTTTTAAATTCTGGGATTTTTTTTTTGTTCTTTCCATTTATATTATTGTAGTTATTGTATACATGATTTTTCTGGTGCTATTTACTTCATTTTGCATCAGTTCATGTATGTCTTTTCATGCTTATCTATTATTACTAAATATTATTTATATATTAGCAAGTACATATAATATAATTAATAATTAATGTGACATATTAATTGCTTGTGTTAAATAATCATAATATTTATTTTATTGTGCATAATATTCTATTACATTCAGTTTCCCAAACGATAAACATCTACTTTGCTTCCAATTCTTAGCTACTGCAAAAAAGTGTTGCCATGGATATTTTGATGTATATAGGGCCTTTCTTTCTATCTTTAATTTCTTCGGGGTATATGCCTACCAGTGGAATCTCTAACATTTTAGACACGTGCATTGCAGAATTCCAAATTATGCTTTAATAGCAATATACAAAACAAAATATAGTTTAAGTCCCACAAAACACCATATAGCTTATAAACCAAATGTTTCTTTTTAAACATAAAAGGTTTTTTGTGGGATGGGAGACAAGAGAAGTACTGTGTGTTTTTGATGCAACTGAAGTTTGAAAACCCTGAAATCAAACCAACAAAACATGAACAGAAAATTGTGTCATTCCTGAGGTACCAAAAATCACCCTGGGTTCTCAATGAGACATCAAAATAGAACTTTTATTAATCTGAGTGTCAGCCAGGTCAGCTAATTCAAAGTAGGATCTACATCATTGAATTTGAACATTACTTGACTGTTTCCTGTTGACATCCAATTTAAAAGTAATTAACATGAATTGACCACCATAGCACTATGCCAAGTGTGCCACCTTCTGTGTGAGGCCTTTCCTGGTCCCCCAGATGCTCTCCCTTCAAGATTACCTTGAATCTGTTTTGTATGTGTTTTATACACATAAAATGTACAGTTTAGTACATATGTTCATATTGTCTCCAGGTTAAAATGTAAGCTCCTTGAGGGAAGAGACTTGTTTTTTTTTTTCTGGTGAGGGCAATTGGGGCTAAGTGACTTTGCCCAGAATCACACAGCTAGCGTTATGTGTCTGAGGTGGAATCTGAACTCAGGTCCTCCTGACTCCAGAGCCAGCGCTCTATCCACTACTAGCTGCCCCAAAGAGACTTGTTTTGATGTTTTTGTATCCCTAGCACCTAGTATACTGCCTAGTACATAACAGGTGCTTAATAAACACTTGTTGATTGATTGCTGTGATGATAAATGATAAATCATATTCTTTACACTAAAAAAATGGATTTTAATGAATAGGATTCTTAGCACATGAAAATAATGAGGTAGGCTAGTCATGTATTTAGAGTTGAGGTATACTCAAGCGTTGCATTAGAATTATGAAATACAAAAATCCATACAGAAGGAACGTCCATAGTACATTGGATAGATCCTTTAGGGAGGAATTATGGGAAGATATGCCTAAGAATCACATAAAGGAAAAAGAATGCAAATAATGTATTTTTATCTTTTTATAAAAAATTACAAATGAGAGTATATGAAAAAAGATAAGCGTAAATAGAAAGGTGATGGTATGGAGCTTAGAAACACCAAGGTTGGAGAATAATAATTTCAGGGTGTACTGCTAGAAAACCTTGGTTAAAGACAATGTGTAAGTTAAGGCTGGAATAAACTACAGAGCATTTTTATTTATAGCTCGCTTTTTCTTGGTGGCCTGGAGGATTCTGGATATAAAACTATTTATGTTAATTCCTGCTTCTCTATTTGGAGATAAAAGGAAGGAAAGAAGGAAGGAAGGAAGGAAGGAAGGAAGGAAGGAAGGAAGGAAGGAAGGAAGGAAGGAAAGGAAGGAAGGAAGGAAGGAAGGAAGGAAGGAAGGAAGGAAGGAAGGAAGAGAAGGAGGAATGGAAAGAATGCAGGTGGGGAAACAAAGACAATGTAAATTGGCCCTTTGGGGTTCTAGGGGGCTGAGAGAATGTGCCACTGAAGCCCATGAGAAGGATGGTGCGTGTTTTCTGAAGTCTAAGTGAATAATACCAACCAGAGGTAACCCCAGCTTATGCTTTTAAAAGTGTGCCACTTTCTGCCCGCCGTCCCTGAATTTGGGCCTATGCCCCGTATGCGAACTACAACTCCCATCAGTCTAGCGCAAGAAGGGATAGGCTGGGATAGCCCCCAACAAAGGGCCACGCCTCAGCTTGCTCGCGAAAGACAATTTTGATTCCCAACGTGGAGGGTAATGTGGAAGGTTTCATGCAGTGCCTGCCGGGAATTGTAGTCTCCGTAGCTGGAGCTGCGCTGAACCTGCCGGGAATTGTAGTTTCTGTAATGGGGGGGAGGGGACTGGGGAAGGAGGGGGTCGGGCCCTGTCCCTCCCCCCGTCACTTCCTGCCTGGCTGCGGGAGCCCGAGCGGCTCATTCTCTTTAGTGTTTGCCCTGTGGCCGCAGCGTCTGGCTCGGCTCCCCCCTCCCTCCCTCCCCGATCCCCGGCGCCCGCCCCCCCACAGGCCATTCCGCCTCCCCTCCCCTCCTCACAACCACCGCCTAACCGATCCTTCGGCGGGGGACGAGTCCCGGGAATCCAGGTGAGGCGCTTCGGCCCAGCCCGTTGCAGCTTGGGGGAAGGGCCTGGGATGGCGGGTGGGTGAGGGAGAGGCGAAGGGGACGGGAGACCGCTCCCCTGAGCCACCCCGGCCTAGCTTGGCCTGAGGAAGCGAGGCACCCCGCCGCTCCCAGCGTGGCTCGGCGGACAAGGCTGGGAACACTAGGCCTCTGAGGGAGTCAGCCTCCCTCCCTGGCCTGAGTGGGGAGGGGCTGCAGCCACCCCCTAGCCCAAGAAAGGCCTCAGTCCCTCCGCCCTTCCCGGGGCGGGGATCAGGCCTATTCTGGGAGAAGAGCCCTCAGCCTTCCCCTCCTGTCCCAGCCCTCGCCTCCCTCCCGGGGCATGGGGGCTCGAAAGGCGCAGGTTTCTCCGCCGCTCCTTCTCCATCCTTAGTCTATTTCTGCCTGGTGTCCCTCCCCACCTTTTCCCCAGAGGAATGGGGTTTGCTGCAGCCCCCACCTTGCTGGGGACCAGTGTCTTCTCCTCCTCCCAGCAGTCCCCTTCCTCTCCCTGCACCTTCTCGGCCTGAGGGACGCGCAACAGCCTTTTTAACCTGTTCTTTGCCACGGAGGGGAAGATCAGGCCCTTTAAGGCAGGAGCCAAGAGTTAGCTCCTCTATTCATGATTTTGCACACACACCCCCCAAACCCAGTTCGGCTTTTTTTTTTTAGCCCAGTTCTAAAGCTAGAGTATTTATCTCTGAACTCAGATGCCGAAAGGAATTTATTCTGACCCTTTTCCCTACTCCGCTGTCTGCCAGACTGTCCATGGAATGTTCGTTGAATTAAATTGTTGAAGCTCCAGCAGTTTTTTAATTGTTCGATGTCCCGATATTCATTATCCTATGGGAAAAGATTGACTGTTTTGTTTTTGTTTTTTTAATCCTCTGAGCTTTTCTATACCAAATATGCCTTTCGTATTAGGCATGAAGTTATGTATGGTTCTGGTTCTTTGGAGGGAAAGACACAGTGGTGATATCAAAGTTCCTTAGCTGCAGCCCTCATACACCTGTGCATTTGGAGGGGAAATACATTTTTCTGCAGGCAGTTGTGTTAAGGAAAAGAGTATTTCAGTTGATACTGATCCATAGCAACTGGTTCAGATGTGAGAGATTCATCTTCCGTTCGGTATAAAGTATGTGGAACTAGCTGATTCATTTATCATTACAACCATGTAAAAGAAAGGTAGTATTGCCACCCCGTATTTAGTAAATAGGTGTATTCAATAGTTTATTTCTGTCCTTGTCCTTACTCCAAATTTAGGCGTTTTCTACTATATAGTCCAAGCTTCCAATACCATACCTTTTTGCCAGCTCCTCTGCCCCCGTTTACTGATCCCTATTATAAATCTGTGCACTTAACCATGTTGCAATATTAGTCGTGTATGTAAGAGAATCCCTTCAATAAGGCCAAATGTGTATGGCAGCCCAGTCATCTATGGTTTTTTTGGCATGGGGAAAAGCTTTAAGGTCTCAGGGACTTCTTTGTTCTTTTTTCTTATGCTGTCAAATTGTCTTAGTTGTGAGTATGCAGGAGAAAGCTTATTTAAGTTGCTTGGGTTATCTTTAGGTAATCAAAGTGAGATAAATTATAGTAAGAGTTATTGATGTAAAAGTTAAAGTAGTTGGATTGCAGAGAGTAATTTTAGTGGTGACAGGTGAGATTTTAGTGTGGCAGGTTCGTTCTGCATGCTAAGTTTGTTTTTAATTCAGAAGTTAGATATACTGGTATATATATCTTGTATTAAGCAAACTGAGTTATGAAAACCCTGATTTGCAAAAAAGATTAGGAGATACTTGTTTGTTTCATAAAAAATACTCTTTTATATTGTTTTAAATTTTTTAGATAGATTCCCTTAATTAGAAATATTTGATTTATACCATGTCTTAGAAACATCTTTTGCTTAATTTTATGAAGTACACAAATTGGACACTTGCCTATTATAGTTTGATACATTTGTAAGTTCTTATTGTCCACTTTAGTGTATTTAAAGTAGCTATAAGTTTCCTAAATGTTTAAACTATGAGTCAAACAGATTACCTGTTGCCTTTTTTAAAGTACAGTGCCACAACAAACTATAGTATTTTAAAATTGACTTAGAACTTAGCTAATTTTTCTCAAGCCGTTATTCTCTCAAATTACTTATTTTTCTAATGAATATATTAAGTTATCTTTCACTTAGCAATTTACAAATGGTAATGATTTTATTTTGTGGAGTAGAAATTATTGTAATATACATTTTTATGGCTAAAATGGAGGTTTTGGTGAATTAGATGTGGAACAGTATTAGATCAGTTTTTTCTTAGATTATAAGCTATATTATTTCTATATTATTTGCATATGAAACAGCAGTCGTTTTTCTCTCTGTGATACTAATTTTTAAAAATATCAAACTGTTGGATTTTTCTTCCTGTTCTAATGGGTATTTGTTAAACCATCTTTAATGGAAAATAACTTTTTGTGTCAAAGTTAAACTATGGTTAATAAGTTATGTGATGAAAACTTTGAAAGGTTCTTTACAGTGGTTGTGCAAATATGCTGATGTAATTTTGGGTTAAGAATTAAGTAAAGAATATTCTGATTAGAAACTTTGAATTCTATTGTGGAGGATTAAAAAAAATCCTTATCACCCACTGTACTTTTTAATAGTAAATTTAGTCATTTTGAAACTTTCTTGCTTTTAGTAGACATGTAATACTAACATAACTGTAGATGACAGGCAAATACTGTCCTCTGTAATTTTAAAAGACATGTCTGTCATTTAGGGAAGTTGTTAACAAGAATATTTAATTTGCGTCAGTTACTAGAATTATTCAATGTACAGTGTAAACATTGCTTTCAAAATTTTTCTGTTGTATATATGTATTGTTAGTATTCCAGTTGTCTGTCCTTAGAGGCACTGGAAATTTTGTGTTTTGTTTTAGTCACCAAAACATGGCAAATGAGAAAGACTGTAGTTTTTGAACCCCCACTCTAGAAAAGGAATAGATTATATTTTATTTTGAAAAATGCTTCAAGCTTTCTGGTATTTTTTTAGTATTTATCAGTATCAGTATTTTAGTATTTATTGTTGCTGTCATAAACAGTACTCCCTTCTGAATCAATTTTGGCCCCTTTCAGGATACAGCCAGAAAAAGCACATTTGTATATAGATGTCAAGTTATGGAACGAACAAAAACTTGTAGAACTATTTTGGAGGCAGGATTCCACCTCTAAAGTGTCATGCAACCAGTAATGGAAAATGAAAAGACAAGCCTCTGCAACCAGGACATAGTCACAGTAGGCCAAAAATACTTAATACATCGAAGCACGAAGTAAGTGGAACTAGTAGATTTTTGCCCATTTCCTTTTCTTCTCCTATATTCTTTGATATGATCAAGAATATTTCCTTATTTGGAACTAAACCCAGTAGCACTAATACAACTTTTCAATTTGACAAAGAATTATTGCTTTTACTAAATATACAGTGTGACTTAATGGATATTTCAACAACAAACCTGACAAGAGTCAATGCCTGAGGCCTCATTAATGTTCTTGTGTGAATCTCTAAACTGGATCATGTCATATAGTATTTGATGTCATGCTTAGAATCTAGTAGAATGATGAAGTATTGCTTAATCTAGACATTATAAATCCTTCTGTCACATTAAATATAGGAATTACTTTAACTGGTTAAGGTATCTGAATGAGTTTGGGTGGTAATTGTAATGTTGGTCACTGAAATTGCTATAACATTTTACTGTAATTTTTGGTTTATACCAGACTTACCAGAGGTTGTTTTAGAGATTTCTCACCTCCCCTTCCCCCAGTAGAATGTAAACATTGAGGGGCCCAGACTCTTTTTTTTTGTCTGTTTATATCACCTAGCATGGTGCCTTACAGATAATAGTCAATTTAAAAAAAAATTATAGAATAGATATTTAATGTGTTTCTTGAATTAAGTTTCTTGGTGACAGGAGCCTTTGAAAATAAAAAGTTTTCTATTCTTAATTTTCTCCTGATCTCTTTAAGTAAATCTTTTATTATGGTTCAAGTCATAGCACTAGGGCAATTCTAAAAAAGATGAAATTGCAAACTAAAGTTTCAACTCTCTAAGAAGATGTGCTAGTTATTAAAGTTAATTTTTAACTAAGATGGATTTATATGGTCTTAGGGATATGTTGAGAGAAGAGTTTGATTAGTTATAGAAATAGAAGAGTGAGAACCAAGTTGTGTTTTTTTTATACCAAGATTAATGTTGACTGTTACTTTTGACAAATTGCTTAATGAACATCTATAAATATCTGTTGAATTGAATTCCATCTAATCAAGCTACCTTTAAGGAAGGATATTAAAGAAGCTTGGTTAGTTAGTACTGACCATATCCTTTGTACTCGTGATCATAATATCATGTGAGACAAGGTGGAGTGGCCATTTTTATCCTTATTTTACAGATGAGGAAATTGAGACTCAGAGAGGTTGAGGGTGCTCCTAGTGCTAGTGACTGAACCAGGGCTTGAACCTAGGTTTTCTGAGGCTAGCACATTAGTGCTAGCTTTCTGTTGTACTCTGCTGCCAGTGAAATGTGTAGTTGAATAATAAGTTTATCCTAAAAGATACAGTTTAGACCAGCAAACCATATTTTCAAGAAAACACTGTGTGTAAGATTATTTGTTAATGTTATTGTGTACCAGAGGTTGCAAAGATGTCTCAGATGGTCAATTTTATTGAATGCTGTGAGCCAAAAACTCCACCACTGCCAAAGCAAAACTTATTGCAAGTAGTTTAATTCACTTTGTATATATTAAAGTTCCAGCACAACTTAATAAGATTGGTGATATCCCATCTTTGATTGTATAGATAATATAGCTGTAGATCTACAAAATCACTGGAGACTATATCTACTCTTATTATGAATCAGTGCATTCATTTTTTTTGTTTGTTTCTTTAATGGTTTTGTTCAGTACGCTTGTACAAGATATAATTCCTAAAAACTGGGATAAAAAAAATTGAGGAAAGTATTTTTAATTAGACTTTTTGTCACTTTGTAACTCAAATGTAATGCAAAATTTATTTAATCAAGTCACTAATTTTGTAGGTGCAATAAGTGTGAATTTGTAGGTTTTTTAATAATACAAATTAAACTATGTTGTTTTAACCCTATATCTAGTTATCCAAGGGGTTTGTTTAATTCACTGAGCCAAATTATAGTGATTAAAAAATTTATTAGACTAATACAGTTTGTATTTATAACATATGATGGGAGGTCACTGATGAACTTAGGTCTCTTTCTAGGATCTCTGGCTACAGGTGCAGGAGTGATGTCAATTATGTACCCTGGTTGAGGGCATCATACTTTCCTTGTTTGCATATTTTTCTATTGTACTTTAATGTAGACTGATATATGGGTCTTTAAAAAAATAAAAGTATTAAGGTTCAATACATTTTCATTTTGCTTTAAAATTATTGCATGAGGATCATTTGATGAAGAAAAGAAGATAGCACTGACTTTTGAATTAGGGAGCCTGAGTTAGTATTAGTGTCTTCATCTGTGTCATGTTGTAGTGTATAGAGAACTGACCTTAACGCCAGGAAGACTTAGTTCAAGTCCCATCTCTGATACATACCTGTTTTATGACTGGTCAAGGTTAGTTTCAGTGTTCTAGGCAATTTTTTCAACACCTCAGAGGTATTGAAGTGCATTGGTAGAGGATATTTCTTCACCTTAGAGTGCCCAGTGAATTTATAAGTTCAGTCCCTGTTCCAACTCCTTCTTTATCTGTAAAATCAGAGAGTTGAGGACCCTTCCAACCCAAAGACTTTAAAATAGGATTTTTTAAGGTCAAACCACATCATTACCTAAATATGTTTCTCTACTTCTGTAGAATCATAGAATCTTATTGTTGGAAGGTCCTTCAGAAATCATCAGATAGTCCAAGTCATCTCTGAGCAAGAACACCTCTACAACAGAAGTGTTAAACTCCCAGGGGGTATAATGTCCAGCAGAACTCCTGAGTGTTGCCTGAACAATAACAAAATAAATAAAAATGGAATAAAACATGGATAATGTCAGTTTGTGGTTTTCTAAGTCAACATACAGCCTGCAGAGATCTCAGGGATCGATTTCTATTTGAGTTTAACACCACTACTCTGTTGTCCCTAACAAGTGGCCATCCCACTCTGCTTGAGAAAGCCCTTTCACCTTTGGAACAACTTTTAAGGGCTAGGAAATTTTTCTTTAGATAATACTTGTCCTACTGTAATCGCTACCCACGAGGAGGTCCTTGCTCTGTCTTCTGGAGTAAAATAGAACAAGTACATTCCCTCTTCAACCAGAAAGCTAAGCAAATACTGTTCCCCATTTCCCTTCATGTTTTCTCTTAGTTGTCAGTATTCTTCTAGTCTAGTATGGTACCTAGAATTAAATATAATACTCTAGCTGTGGTCAGAGCAAGGCAGAATGCAGTGGGACTATTATAACCTCTTTCATTCTGGTCATTATGCCTCTATTCATACAGCCTAAGATGTCATTAGGTTTTTTTGGTTGCCATGTCATAAAATTTACTTGTTGACCTTGCAGTAAATTTAAACCTCTAGGTCTTTTCCATCATACATTGTCTAGCCATGTCTCCCATTCTGTACTTGATGTTTTGAACCTGAATGTAAGGCTTTACATTTAACTCTGTAATATGTCAGTGGTTCTTTCCATTGTTCTATCTTGTTGGGATCTTTTTGCACTCAAAAACGTCTGACACGTTAGCTCTCCTTCCTAGCTTCATGTCAACTACTGCAGATTAAATAAATTTGCTATCAGTGCTTTCATGGTTGATTCTCCCTTTTTTTTTTCTTTTGTCACTGGAATTTATTTTGAATGAGATAGGAGCCATTTTGTTTATGTTTTCATTGATTAGTGATTTGACCAATGATTCAAATATTTTAGAATGTGCTGATAAATATTATTGCCCTGTTCTATTTTGTTTGTTTTTAATTTTTATTTTTGGAGGCAGTTGGAGTTAAGTGATTTGCCCAGGGTCACACAGCTAGTAAATGTCTGAGGCTGGATTTGAACTTAGGTCCTCTTGACTCCAGGGCTGTTACTCTATCCACTGCACAACTTAGCTGCCCCTCTATGGTTGTTTGTTTTTTTTTTAATATGTAATATGCCCCCCCCATTTACATGTTAAAACAATTTTTTAACATTTTAAGTTTTGAGTTCCCAATTCTATCCCTCTTTCCCTTCCCCGCCTTTGTGAGATGGTAAGCAATCAGATGTAGGTTATACACATGCAATCATGTAAAACATTTCCATGTTAGTAATTTTGTATAAGAAGACTCCTTAAAAAAAGAAAGAGAGAGCGAAAGAAAGTGAAAAGTAGCCTGCAGTCAGTCTCTATTCAGACAATCACTTCTTTATCTGGAGGTGGATAGTATGCTTCATCATTTACTGCTTTGGGATTGTCTTGGAGCACTGTATTGCTGAGAATAACTAAGCTATTCACAATTCTTCATTGTACAATGTTGCTGTTACAGTGTACAATGTTTTTTGGTTTTGCTCTTTTCACCTTGCATCAGTTCATGTAAGTCTTTCTAGGTTTTTCTGAGAACATCCTGCTTCTTTCTTGTAGGCACATATAGGTATTCCATCACAGTCATATACCACAATTTATTTAGCTATTCTCCAGTTGATCAGCATCCCTTTGATTTCCAGTTCTTAGCCACTGCAAAAAAAGAGCTGTTATAAATATTTTTGTACATGCAGGTCCTTTTTTTTCTTTTTTCCTTTTTGAATTTCTCTGTGATAGAGACTTGGTAGTAGAATTACTGGGTCAAAGGGTAATGCACAGTTTTATAGCCCTTTCAAAATAGTTCCAAATTGCTCTGCATAATGATTGGATCAGTTCACAACTCCATGAACAGTTCATTAGTGTCCCAGTTTTTCCATATCCCCTTCAACGTTTGTCATTTTCCTTTTCTGTCATGTTAGACTGTCTGAAGGGTATGAGGTGGTACCTCAAAGTTGTTTTAATTTTCATTTCTCTAATCAATAGTGATTTAAAGCATTTTTTCATATGGCTATAGAAAGCTTTCTTTTCTTCGCCTGAAAACTGTTTATTCATGTGCTTTAACCATTTATCAGTTGAGGAATGAATTGTATTCTATGAAATTTAACTGAGTTCTCTATATATTTGAGATTCTCTATATGTCAGAGAAACTTGCTGTTAAATTTGTTTCCCCAGTTTTCTGCTTTCCTTCTAATCTTGGCTGCATTGGTTTTATTTGTGCAAACCATTTTTAATTTAATGTAATCAAAAATTAATCCATTTTACATCCTGTAATGCTTTCTGTCTCTTGTTTGGTCATAAATTCTTCCCTTATCCTTATATCTGACAGGCAAACTATTCCATGCTCCTCTAATCTCCCTATGTTTTAAACTTTCTCCTCTTTAAGATTTGTTTGACATACAAAAGGGCAGAAATTAATATGTTGATAGTACTTTTGTTTGTGGTAGTATTTATTATTTCAGCTCAAATACCATCTCTTTGGGAAGCATATCTTTATGCTCTCTCCTAGCTTTCTTAACACTTTGTGTCTCTTTTAATCTACTTCCACATTGCACCTTGAGTTATAGTTAATTTATGTGCATTTTATTTCTCCCTTACTAGACCGTAAGCCTCATAAAGGCAAGAACCATGTTCTTGTCCTGTTTGGGTCCTTACAGTAGAGTCATAGAGTCATGCTTAGAATAGGTGCTTAATGTTTTGATGACTTAACTTTTGTTAGTAAGTCCCATTAAAATGAACTTATGAACTACATTTTAAAAAATATAATTTTTTCAATGAACAAAAGCCTATTTTTCTCCCTCATCTTTTCCTCTTTGAAAAAAAAAAGAAAAACAAAATTCTCATAACAAATATACATAATCAACCAAAATAAATTCCCTCATTGGCTGTGTCCAGTAAAAAATATGTCTTAATCTGCACTCTGAGCCTATCACCTCTGTCAGGAGATAAATAGTATTAAACTGCAATTCTGTGTTCCTTCTAAGAAAAAGTAAAATTTCTAGTTCCAGGTCTTGGCTCATAATTAGCTGTACAGTGTTTGATAATAATTGCCCTTTGTCCTTCCTATTCATTCTTTTATGTTGCTCTAATTTATTTTCCCTCTTTTATCTTTATGTTACTTTGTGCCATTCCTTTATGGTCTGATGAAATGAGATTGATAGGATATTTTGGTTGGGTAGTTAGGTGCCTCTGAATCAGTCCTTTCTAATTTGATATGAAAGTATTCAAGAAAGAGGCTTACTCCAAATGAGTAGTCAGTTTATAATAATATTTGACTAAATGGATTAAATATATTTAGATTTTTAGTTTCAGTGAGATTGCACATGCATATGAGATTTCATGCTGTCTGTACTTCGGGATAACCTGTTTGGTCTATAATGACGTAAGTATAGCTCATTAATATCAGAAAGGATGTTGAAAGTTTTAGGTTTCTAAATGGAATAGGTAATGCTGTTTAGGTTGTCTCTATGTTTTCTTTCCGTCATGGAATTAGCGTTATGATTTAACAGGTTTTATCTGTCCTTATGCTTATAAGTTAAAATCCCCTATCCTGTGAATTTTCTATCTTATATACAGTATTGTCATGCCATTGCTATTATGATTCTACTTGGAATGGCTTTTCACCATAAAAAATCATGTGTGTGTATGATAAGGTCTTATTATCTGGTGGCTTATGCTATGTGCTTTGTTCTACAGTTGAGGTAACTTGCTCTGATTCCATCTTTGAACTTCTTTGACCTTTTCCTGTATGTCATTTGCATTCCTATATGTCATATTGCATTGCAATAAGTTGCCTTTCAAGTAGGACCTCAGTCCTCTGGTGCCCTCAGGGATGAATTCACCTTTCTAAATAGTTGAGTTTCCTACATAGTTGAGAATTGACACTTTTAAGGGCCCACATTTCTTTTTAAAATTTTCCACTTATTTCAAAGAAATTTTTCAAAAATCTGTTATTTTTAGATCCTTTCTTCCCCAAAGGGCACATCAACCCTAACTTAGTATCTTTTTTAATGACACAAAGTCATCATTTTGAAACTCAATTACTGTGATACCTTCTAGGCTTATTGAGCTGTTTAAGGTTAGTTGCTCCTATGTTAAATAAAATGGTCTCTGAGTTCTTCTGTCTGCTCTTTGTAGTTTTTCTTAACCCTTGTTATGCACTATCTTTTCTCATTGGTCATCATGCCTGTCTTTAGCACTGATCTGCTGTTTCTGATCAGCGGTTTTGGAATACAAATAACTAAACTAGCTAGAACTGTGTATAAAATAAAGATAGACCCTGAGTCAAGGCTTGAGGGACCCTTTTATGAGTAAAATTTATGAATTTGTGATAGCAGTGTTGGCTGTTTTGTTTCCTTCCCGATTTTCAGCTGATTTCCTAGTGGTAAGATATAGCAGTACTCTGTCTAACAGCAGTATAGTTGGAAAACCTTCAATAAAAATATTCATCCCTGAGTTACCATGGGAGAATCTGGGGAGTTGTCTGATCAATCTGATGAATTTATGGGGAGGTGAAACTTAATTGTATTTTCCTATGAAGGATATAGATTTGCCCCATGGCATCCCCTGGAGAACATCTCAGTGATTGATAACTAATTGGTTGGCTCATATTCCTCTAGGTTAGACATTGTGGACTTCCCTCTGTGCTGGCTTATAAAAGGAGTCCTTATGCTAGGAGCAGGATTAGACCAGGATCTTGAGGGATTTCTGTACCACTGTTTCCTATCCATTAATGGCTGCCTTGAGACAAGACCCATGGGAGGAGCCATATGGTCAGTCGCCCCAGAGATGATGCCCTCTTATCCCAAAAGACATCAGCAGTTGGGCAATGGTTGATTGTTGAGTATGAGCCTTGGAGAAGTTGGTTGCAGAGGAACTTGTGCTGTCACCTATGTAGCAGCTATGGAAACATAGTTGAAGTAATCAGAGTTCCTCACCCCAGTTTATGGGGGAGTGTTTAGAGTCTGTTCTAAGAAGTCTTTTTTTTTTTTGCAAGGCAATTGGGGTTAAGTGACTTGCCCAGGGTCACACAGCTAGTAAGTGTTAAGTGTTTGGTCTGCGGTCAGATTTGAACTCAGGTCCTCTTGACTATGCTATCCACTTCGCCACCTAGCTGCCCCCAAAGGTACTCTTTTGAAGAGAGAAAGCCCCCAAAGCTAGAAGAGCAGCAAAGGGCTAAATACCTTAGTATGAGAGAGCATGGAACCTGGATTTTGCACTTTTTTATTGCCACGAAATATTCAGATGGTGTTTGGGTGATATGATGGGGAAAGGTTGCTACCTATCTACTAGCCAGCCCCAAGCTTGTTTCCCTTCTGGAGGAATCTAGGGCCTCACAGTAGTGCTATAAGATTTTATACATAAGTACATATCTCTGTAGAGTTAAATTGGGACTTATAGAATGTGTTTCTAGCATCTCCAACTTTGTTTCTCTTTCTAAATGTTGTAAAAACATTTTGATTTTGTTGGGAATATTTTTCTTATAGCATAATGAAGTCCAAATTTCTAGGCAGAGCTTTGAGTTGGAAGGACTTTAGGAATCTATGAAAAGTGGAAGGAGTATATTGATTATGGACTATGTACTCTGACCCTTTTATGCATTGTTTATAGGCTGTTGAGTCTTTTTAAAAAAATTTATAGTGAAATAAAGGATGTCTGGGAGCAGAATAGACCTATCCAAAACTGAAGAGAAACCCAGATATGAGCTTAGCCAGAGATTTATCCAGAGTAGACTTTGATGGGGGGAGGCACAAACCAAAATGTTTTTATGTTATTATGGAGAAGGAGGACCCTCAAGATTGAAGCCGGTCTTTGTCAAGAGTCTGAGGCACTGGACCATTGGTTATACTAAAATCAACAAATTGGACAGATACTTCATTTTCTCTACTATCAGGACATGAGAGTAATAAAAATATTAGGAATTATATTAATAGAAGTTGTAAATAATGTAATAATGATCTCAGTGTGAGAAATTCTTTTAGACGTTAAGTACAGTCATTTAAGGTGAATGGGGAGACTACCCATATAGAAATCCATACCTGAAAATTTGAGAATTCATATTCTCTGATGTCATCCTACTGGCTTAGATTCACTATTGGTAATCTGTTATACTTAATGCCCCCCCAAAAAAAAACAACCTTTGGGGGCATTTTATAGAACATTTACACAAGTAGTTTGGGGTACATTTTTATCTAATGATTGCATTTGCATTTAGACAAGTAGAAAGTACTTTTGTAAAATGAAAACATTTGTATATATTTTTGAAAATTATCTGTGTTTGAAAATTAGGATTTTATGATTGGGTAGTATATGATGTCTAGTTGTTTTTTTATAAGTGTGTTTTTCATTTAGAATTAATTCTCAGTTTTCCTAAATACCTTTTGCTGGAAAGAGTTGAAAATTAAAAAGTTAGGTTGTCTCTTAACATCTGTAGAATTTTCATTTCCTTTCAGAGAATACTATACAAAATTTCCAGGTAATTGGGCCTGTTGTAGAGCCTTTGCAGAGTTCTGCACTGAGAAATATATTTTCAGAAAATTTCCCTATTTGTTTTTTGCCTCTACCTTTGTGTCTAGCAGTGTTTTCCTGCTCTTAATGGGGGAAAATATACTCAAGAAAATTATTCATGTTATGTCTCTCTTGCCAGGCATCTCTAACTCATAGCATCATCGAACCGAAATCAAAACTACACTGTCCTGGAGCGCCCTCTTTTCAAGGTACCAGAAATTTACATTCACTCTGAAATTGTAATCCTATTCTTCATTGAAGGGATCACTCATTTTTCTGGTGTTTGGTAAGCAGATATCTTAATTCTAGTGGTGTTTTGTAATATTATAAAAGTGGAATGAATCATATGCAGTTATTTTTGTCTGAGTTAATGTCTTAAAATTTAATTAAAAATTAATTGCAAGAAAAATTGATGACTAGAATATAAGAACCTTTAGCCAGTACTTCCACATACTTTTAACATAAAGACATGAAAATTTGACCACAGATATTGCAATTAAACACGGATTGTTTAATGAGTATATCTATTGATTAAATTGATTTAAGGATTTGGGGAGTTTTTCTACTTGAGACTTTGATTTCGCCGTTGAAGCTTGTTTTTCAAAACTTTAGAACAGTGTTGAATTTGTCTTGATGTGATTGAAAATCAACTCTCATTTATCACTGGCAGCTTCTGATTATCAAAAAGAAAAGAATTTTGCAAGAATTTGCATGACTTTTAAAAATACTTCATTTATATCATATCTCTTTTCTGTGGACCCTAAAGCTCTTTACATGCTTTGATTAACAGGAATGCTTTGTAAAAGCTTTTTTTTTAAGCACTTTCATTCCAAGTGCTAAAAGTTCTTTCTCTTTTGCCTAACTAAATTTCACAATTTAGTTTCCCTATGATAGGGGACAAATACCCTCCTTGAGGATGAGGAAATACTGATAGCTCACATTACTATAGAGCGCTATAGCTTAAAAAGTGCTTTTCTCATAAGTGATGTGAGTAGTACTCATGTTTTACTCATTTTACAAAAGAAGAGATAGAGGATCCAGAGGTAAAGTGACTTGCTCAGGGTCATATGCCTAATAAGTAACAGAGTTGAGACTCAGGTTCAGGTCTTGTAATGATTAGGTCCAGGTCTCTTTCAACTATATCATGCTGCCTTTCCCAGAAGACTGAGACAGATTGGTTAGGGAAGTTGCACAGAGCTCCAAGAAAATGGATTGGGTGGAGGGAGGGAGTGAATTATATATGTAAAATTTATGCTTTGGATTTGTCTAATACCTTTCTTCAAAAAATTTAGAGTGCTTTTATATTATCATAGCCTGCTACTCGTATTTTAATTTACTAGGCTGCAATAAACAGTTCAAGCCCTTTGAAATTTTTATCACAATATTATTTGTGGCCATTTGGCAGCTGAAGGGAAACTGAGGCACAGAGAAGTTAATTGCCAAGAGTTATTGAAGTAGAGCTGACAGAGAGATCCATATTCCTGCAGATTAATCTTGTTTTTCTGATTCGGCTTTGTTGGTTACTACTTTTCACTAGGACTGGTTTCTTATAAACAGGATCCCAATAGTTGCTCATGTTGAAGAATATTGTGGCTAAGGCAATAATGTTTCTGAGTAGGTGGCATATGTCCTGAAGTTTCTTTTCTGTGGGGGCAAAATGGCTAATAATTGTTACATTGATACCAGTCTCTTCTTAGGCAGTAATATACTATGTATGCAGTATGCTACTTTAGTATCCAAGTAAATCATAAATATTGTGTAGTGAAAATGTATGCATCACTTGGTTAAAACATTTGTTGCAGGATGGACAGTTTCTTTCAGTGTTACTTTCTAAAGAGTTGAATTGGAAGAAGGTGAAAATGAGAAACTTGAAAAAAAAAGATTAGAAAAGAAAATAAAGTATTCAGACTTTTAGGCAAAAGAGGTATGTTTTCTTTAAATTTAGTGCAGAGTATGATATAGTCGTTTTCTAGATTGGCCCAAGTAAAATAAAGCATTCTTAAAAGTGGTGATGGATTGTTGTTGATGTTGTTAGTAGATTACCCAATGATAACTAATCTAGAAAAGATAAAATTCTATATCAAATACCTGGCATTAAATTAGTTTTACATGAGAGCACATTTAGTCTGTTGGGCCTGATGTAAAAGTCTTAAACAGTGTAGTTCACTTCCAGTCATTATTTTTGTTAATGTTTTCCTGTGATTACTTCTTTAGTGCAGCTTTTTCTGTATTTTTCATCGTATGTTTGAATTACTAAGTATGTGCTGGTATTTGTAGCAAGCATCTTCCAAATAAAGCAACTTTATCTTTAAGGGGAGCAAATTTCTGGTTTAAGAGTGTTTAAGTAGGTATACTTTGTTTTTCAATTTTGGTATATAACCCTGCTACTAGACATTCTTTCCTTGATGCTACAACTTTCATAGCAAATGCTTTAGGAAGTCACTATATAAGGTGGATCATGGTGGAATTGTTTTTGTTTTTTCATTGCTGCTGTTTTATCCGTAAAGGCTAGGCTAATGTTTGGGGCTTATCATTGTTTCCATGTCTGGTAAATATAGAAATGGATGATACTACTGATTTCCAGTAATCTGGAAAAGGATTTGTAAAATACCCAAATCTTTATTACACCTAGAAAGAAATCCCAGAACGTGGAGAGAGTGGGGATAATTAGGAAGTTAAGTTTCCTTTTTAGAAATTGCCACAGAATTTATTGGAGCTGTTTTTAATCTATTCAACCAGTATTGACCATGGACATAACTATGAGTTCAATACTCTTAGGTACTGTGAAGACTACATTTTAAGGGAAATGTAACAAAATCTGTTGGGGGTGTTATGGATGGAAAGGGGGACCTTTAAGGTTTGTAACACTAAAAATCTCATTTGAACTGAACAGTAGCCCTTGGAGGTAGATGCTATTATTTATCTCCATTTTATAGATGGAGAAACTGAGCTGAGAGATTAAGTGCCTTGTCCAGGGTCACACAGCTAGTAAATATCTGAGGTCACATTTGGACTCAGGTCTTCCTGACTCCAGGTACAATGTTCTATCCACTGACCCACCTACCTGATAGAATGAAAGTGGGAAATATAGGATAGGGTTCTTTCTATATGGTGGGGAAGATTTTAACTTAAATTTTTTATTGTTGTCAGAGGTAGCTTTGGGCGGATGGAATCTCCCAAAACCTGTAATAGGCTTTTTGAGATGGAAGAAACCACCCTGTGCAGGATTCAGTCTCTGTTACCTGTGTGACAGGTGGTTGTCCAAATTCTCTTTGAAAGTTGCTGGTGATAGCTAAAAAACAGCTTCTCAACAGTCCGTTCCATTTTTATACGTATCAAATTACTACCAAGTTTGCGCTTATATTGAGCCAAAATGTGCCTTTCAAAAATTTCCAACTATTCATAGGGTATTGCTCTCTTCTTCAGACTAATAGGTAATGTTTATTTAGTGTTTAAGGCTTCAGTTGTTCCATATGTAACCTGTGTAACTTATCTTTAAAAGTAAAGTACTTATTTCTGTGAGTAATGTTTACACCAGGTTAATTCTTCCAAAGTAAAGCAAGAACAATTTGTGTTTCTTGTAGGTCACAAGATGGATAACATTGTTAGTGTTCTACAGGGGAAATGATCCTTAATACTTTTTATCTTTGTGTATCTAATATGTTTCTGGGTTAGAGTTTTTCTTCTTAACACTTGGCTTCCCCATGCACACCATTATCTCCATAAAATGGTAGAGCATTCAAGAAGAGTAAAACTTGGTAAATTGTTGTGGCTGAGTCAGAGGGGTAGCTTGACATAAGTTGTGATTGCTTTTCTTTCGAAGCGGAGTCTAGAAAAATATCAGGTATTTTGTAAAGGACAGTAGGGTGGTATTGTTGATGAGTCACAATTAACCATTTTTATAAGTGACTTTGTGTTAGTCTTTTATGTCGATATAATTTAAAAATTAGATATTTTGCCCATGTCTACAGACATATTCCTTTACTACAAAGATTGAAACTGCTTTGACACTTGAAGGTGAATGAAGCATTGTATTTGTGTGGGTGTGGTTAAAGATACTTCTACAATCTCTTGAGAAAAGTTGTGCCTAACTTCTGTGTTCACGGTTATTCAGTACATATTGTTCATAATATCAACAAAATACGTTTGGTTCTTAATTGATGTAGTGTTCTTTAGGCATCCAGCATATCTGTATTTGGAAGCACATTCTATTTTTTATTCTAAAATAAAGTTTTTGTGGAACTCATGAACTTTGACTTTCTTCTCCTTTCAACTAAAAACACTTGTAAAATTAAAGCAGCCAGCCATTGTGATTTTTTTTTAAAGAAAATTCTGTGAAACTGAATTTAATGTTAGTTGGGAAAGCCTTGACTGACTTACAAGCATTTTCAGGGGGAAGTACATCCCCTTTTATCAGTACAAAGATTGTACGTAACGTATAGAACTTTGAAATAACATTAGTCTTCTTTTCCTCAGCCATTGGATGACTAAAGCTGTCCAAATAGGAAGAAATCAGAAGGGTATCGTAGTATTATAGGCTTGATAAGTTTTTTTAATTTTTAATTAGAATGAAGTGTTCAGAGCATGTTAAAGGTTTTTGCATTTATATGTTTACATAAAAATTTTAGAATCTTGCAGTTGCCAATTCCTCATTTTACTCTAGTCTCTCTAGGACCTGTTAAGCTCTCAGAAAATCTCAGGCTATGTTTGTGTGTCTGCTGAGTCATTTTGCTGGTTCAAAATCATATGTCGTGAGGTAGCATGAGTCTTGAAAATTGATGGGGGTGGGGATCTAAAGTTTGCATGGAAAGTTTTAAGTTTCAGAACTATCTAAATTTACTTGAATAATAAATTTAAAATTTCATAATACATCTGGAGTCTACGTATTTGCAAATTTGCATGGAATCAAAGAGCAATAGTAGATACCCTTTATTTGAAGATGTTGCTAAGTAGTGTGTGTGTGTGTCAGGGGAGAGTTTCCACTCAAATCCATGAAAATTTTCATGGATCTGATTGTGTTTTAGACTATTTGGTAGCCTTTTATGGATGAAAAGGAAATACTCTTTTCTGGAATTTATCAATTAAATTACTATGAATTTCTTTATGAGGAGTAGTACTTTTATGTTTGAAACTAGTTAGAGTAGGAATGAATCCTATTGAGAGAGTGAGGAAAAGCCTTTGGGTTTCATTTTCAGACTTTAAAAGACCTACATATATTAAATTGCTAACAAATAAAGTTAAACTCAGCAGGTTTTGTATCTTTCATTTTAGTTAGTCCTGTTGAGGATTTCAGATTTTCCAAGGTTACCATCTATTAGAAAGTTCCGCTTTGGAAAGAACAACTTAGCTTCAGAGTAGTTTAGGTTTAAAAATTCTAGTCAGCTATTAAAATGTTCATTGTCCTTCCTCAACCCTTAGTGAGGTTTTCATATGTATGGAGGTGCTTTGTTAGTGCTAGGAGGTTGGCTTTGATCAACATTAGCTAAAATGGTTATCTTCAGTCCAGGTTAATTTAGAGATTCCCTCTTTGGGCTACTGACAGTGGTAGTTCAATTGTTAATAACGTGGCTAGATTCTAGAGCAGATAACTTTGCCTTCGTTTTATTTTAAGCATGTGTTCTGCATGTGGTACTAAGGACTCATTCCGTCTGTGAAGTTGATTTTTGTTTCCAAAGAAAAATATACTTAACAGGTTTTCTTGAGAAAGTGAAAGTTTTATTTTGGCAGGTAAAGAGAAAAACACCTTAGGACTCAAGGCCAATGTTTGAAACTATTACAATGACAGTCTTTAAGAGAGATTGTTGTTCATATCTGTGACCTAAGGGGCTGTGTTATGCTTTTATATGTGTCTATAAGTAAACAAGATCCTTCTTATTAGAACTTTTTTTTTTTTACTTTTGAGGCATTTGGGGTTAAGTGACTTGCCCAGGGTCTCACAGCTAGTATGTGTCAAGTGCTTGGTATGAGGCCAGATTTGAACTCAGGTCCTCCTGACTTCAGGGCCAGTGCTCTATCCATTGTGCCATGTAGCGGCCCTTAGAACTTTCAATAAGGTCATGTTTACACTTTTATTGTAATTCATTTCAACAGAGATATCCTTAATTTTTCAGTCTTGGATGACTGTAAGATATAATTAGTTGAAATACACAAGTGTTTGTGAATTGCATAGTATTTGTCTTGCTACTTGCTTCCTGTCTTTAATCAAGGAAAGAGAATAAAGATTCTGGACATTTTTATAAAGTTAGTACATAATTTTATTCCTCACCATAGAACCATTCAATTAATTTGCTAATAGCAATTTCCTGTGTAAGCTCCATAGCCCAGATGTCCAGATTTGTTCCTTAGCAATCTGTGAGCTGAACTGTCTGAACTGTTTGCCATATCTTTAGGGAGAGAGAGAGAGAAAGAGAGAGAGAGAGAAAGAGTGTGAGTGTGTGTGTGTGTGACTGCTAGTTATTGTAAGACCTTTTGAGTATTTAGACTATGTTCATTATTTAGCTGGAAGGCCACCAAAAATAAGCAGCATTGTCCTTGTATTTTTTTTAATGAATGAATTCTAATTTGATCAAAAGTAACATAACATTTTCAAAGTACTCTTTCCTTATCAGATGAAGATCTCTTTAATTCTAAACCACCCAAATAACAGCCAAACTCCAAAACCTTATATCTATTCCTGTTCTTCTCTTCTCCTCCAGCACCACTTCTACTTTTGATAACATTCCTTTTGAATAATCTGTTCCAATCTATTTCTCATGATGTTGTACATTGAAACGTGCATAACACTTTGCTTGCAGTGAATAAACCAAACTAATCTTAAGAGAACGTGCTTATGAGCTCAGATTGTTGAGACTTGTTCTGACATCATCAAGGAAAAGAAACAGCTTAAGTTGAGACTTGCTCTGTGTCCTCTGTCAGCTTACAGTGGTGAAGGGTTCATATCTGAGCACAAGATTCTTAGAATTGAAAGTGTTGATACACCTGTTAATAGCTGTGACAACTCAATTTGCTCTCAGCTTCTTACAAATCTTAAGAATAGTAATTTCAGTAATTAAAATTTGCATTGTGAGGATTTAGGAAGTATGTGGACAGTTTACAATTCTCTAATATGCACCAATGCAAATTACTGTACTTCCCTGAGTCTAATAGTAAAATAAGCAAAGATCTGTCATTGAAGAACATGTGGGCATTGAAAATCTTTTATTTTTCAACTGTGAGAAGGCTGCAAATACAGGCAGCTTACTGTATATCACGTAGGAACAAAACATCAGCCAATTAAAATGTTTAAACACATTTTTTTTAATGGAGTAGCCCAGTCACAGGCTAAAATTGGGCTATTTTCCTTGTTGGGTAGGTAACACCAATTTTATCTGGATATTAGCAATTACATATCTCCTCTATAATTTATCTTTTTATTTTCTTTTCCTTACAACTTTTAGGTAGAACTTTAGACTTCATAGCACTGAATTAACCTGCACTGAAAGCTGTTTACCTGCAGTTGTTCACTTTTGTTGAAAGTGAACATGTCTCAAGTTCAAGTTCAGAACCCATCAGCTGCTCTCTCAGGGAGCCAAATACTGAACAAGAACCAGTCTACTATCTCACAGCCTTTGATGAGTATTCCTTCTACTACTAGCTCTCTGCCCTCTGAAAATGCAGGTAGACCTATTCAAAACTCTGCTTTACCCTCTGCATCTATTACATCCACCAGTGCAGCTGCAGGTAAGCATATGAATCCAAGTGTCTTCTATTTCAACTGTTTTCTTAGCCTGTTTTATGACCTGATAAGTAGTTTGAAGATATAGAGAGCAGTAGCAAAAGTTACTTCAAGAAGCCACCTCCTGTCCTTTATCCTTGAAGTAAAATACTGGCCAGATATTAGGTTGTTAGACCCTTTCCAAAGGAAAGATTTCAAAATTGTTTAAAAAAAAAAAGGAACCAATGTCACCAGAAACCGTACATTATAAAAGGTTGGTTACCCAGAAGGATTTGACAGTACAGTTTTAGAGATTCATTATTGGATAGAAAATCTTGTCTGCTTTAAAAACAAAACAGAACAAAGTTTTTCCTGGAATTGAGAGCTCTTGTGTATGAGCAGAACCCGTTTTATGTTTTTGGGAGAAATTATCCCAAACTAAGGGTCTGTGGCACATTATGGAAAAAATAAGAGACACCTCGCGGCATATGTGCATTTTGATTATAGACAAGCAAGTTTAAGTGCAGAGGGTAGGTACTGAGATAGGCATTTCAGAGATGAGAGTGCAGAGCCAGCAGAATGTGAGGAAAGTGGCCAAGAAAAAAATTTAAAAAGAATTCCCAGGGCCCTCAACTCTGTGATCTAGGAAAGCAAAAAATCTGCTGAAAATACCCATGTAATGGTAAAATAACACCTGAAACATTAAAGCTTAAGAATACCCCCCAACACTACAGTTAGATATTTGGGCAACAAATCTGACAAACTCTAGGTATCTCTAGGTGGCTCTGTACCAGAGCCAGTTTACCATGACAGAAGCCATTTGAAATACGTCTCTTAGATCCTGCATCTCTCCTCACATTTCCTCCTTCCTCTCTCTATTCCTTTACTTTATCAGTCTATTCTGAGTGTTTCCTTAATTTCCTTCTCCCTCTCTCATCTGCATGGCTTCTTCCGTTTTAGCTCTAGCCTTCCTTGAGCTAGCTCACCAGATATTATTATTCTTGACTTTGTCACATTCCCCAGATGATTCAGTTCCCACCAAATTTTGCCATGTAAGAGGGTCTTAAAAGGAAAAGACAAAGGATTTCATGCCTTTGGCATCTTTTGCTTTCTCTTCTGACATATTCTTGTGCCTGAATCTTGTTAACTTCATAAACTCCTCAAGCCCTGGCTGTGTCACTTAATATAATTATCAGCATTAGTTACTAAATCTGTGAGTAGCAGCCTCTAGGGGAAAAAACTAGGAGGTGCCCCTAGAATGATAACTTTCTGGAAAATGGCAAGCACAGTGCCAATTTAGAGATGGCACTGGCATGTTGCTTGTCATGAAACAGCAGAATAGGTGATGCACTAAGTGGTGAGTCTTTGCTAAAAAGACTTCCTTATTCTTCCATTGTTTGGTTACAACAGCTGATCCTATGTCTTGCTTGCTGTGTGCTTTAGTTATTCTACTAAAACTCCTATTCTCTCTCCTTTGAAGATACATCTTCTAGATTAACTATCTTTAACTGGTTCAGAAAAGACAACAGAAGTCTCTTCAGTAGCCACATATCTCCTACTGTAGGGCTTTTGGTTTTGCATTGCTTCATCTGTAAATACTCAGAACTTCAGTTTGCTTTCCCTTGATTTTCATATCCCTGGGAAAGCATCATTCTTACATACCAGCAGTTGACTTCAATGCTCTTACATTATTTTTCAGTTCCTTCTAACATGGCAAACCCCAAAGAGAAAACCCCAATGTGTCTTGTGAATGAGTTAGCCCGTTTCAACAAGATTCAGCCTGAGTATAAGCTTTTGAGTGAGCAAGGTCCAGCTCACTCTAAGGTAAATATTGTCCATACTGCTTGTGCATTTATAACCACCAGGAATGTTTTCTCTTACTGTTGTAAGTGGTGCAAGAGTATTTTCAAGCTGTTAAGAGGGTGTCAGTGACACTGAAGTAATAAAGCAGTTTCTTAGATGGGTTTTTGACAAGTTTCTTTCTTTTTCATCCTTGCAGAGTTGGGCCAAAGGAAATGTATACTTGATTTAGGGATTGGAACCATTTGGCTTTTCGAAAGTTTCAATTAATAAACTTTGTGGTTAGGATTCTGAGTACCCATAATTCTTTTTTGTCTAAGGGCAATCAATGTTTCCAGTGTGGATTATCCAGGCCCTTGGTCTCTCCTCCTCTTGCTACTAGCGTGCCTGCCTTTTGGTCATGTCATTTCTCATTAGCACTCGTACCATAGGCAGGGAAGGGAGAGGAGGTGATGAAGAAAACAGTTTTGTTTAACAGGTGACACCTCTGATAAAAGGTTTGAAGAAGAATGGTGAAACTAGTTGGCAAAAGTCAATATTTTCGATTATCTGTGGATTTTAGGTATCCATGTCATCCCTATTTCCACAAATAATGGAGAGTTGACCATCTTTTTGAATTTTAATCATTTGTTATAACTACCTATCAGTATTTTAATCTTTTATACTTGGCTCAAAGTATGTATAAATTGTGTGGGCTTGAGACTTATGCACATCTAGGTATTTCCCCGTTTCTGTGGCCTTAGCATTTTAACATTTGGAGAGAATAAACAAGAGGATAAAGAATTGAGACACTGGTTTTCTGCTATTAGTTTTTTCAACAAAGTTGAAATAATTTAGGGCAAGTTATTTAACCTCTCTGTGCCTCATTTCCTTGACATATAGAACCTCAGATAAAGCATTATATTATTGAAATTCGGCGTTTTTCTTGGTATTTGTCAACAACAGGTCTAAGGAATTTCACATTTAAGCAAAATGGAAATTTACACTTCCTACAGAGTCAGTTACAACACTACTTTTGGGCATGATTTTATTTTTTTCAATCTTCATATTTGAAAGGCAGCTAGCTTATATAACTAATGTCTCTCCTACAGGATTTTTCTTTGCAGACTTTAACTTTGGGATTCCCTTTATTAACTACTTTGCTTATTTTGGGCAGGGTGGTGGGGAGGGGAGATACTATGTATGTTGTCAAAAAGACAGGGGTCCATTGTTAATGGGCAGAAACCTTTTGGGACATTCTTGGTTAAGACATATAAGACACGTGATTCTTTGCACACCCAGTTTTTCAGGTCTGCTCTAACAGTTTGGTGTTTTGCCTTTGCCCTTAATAGGGCCAATGAGTTTTAGGTACTTTTAACTCTATCAAAAGTGAGATTTAAACTTCAATTCACTACCAGCACTAGCTATGAAATACCACAAGGATGAAACTATCTCTATAGTAACAACAGAATCCAACAGAATGGAAGCAGCGCTGGATGGGGAAGTCCTGGAGAGAGATGAGACTGTTAATGAAATTAACTTTTCTTTTTAGTCCTTACCCCTTCAATGCCTTTCCATGCAAGGATCACCAAAATGACCCTGGGATTTCATAGCTGTTGCAGATTGCTGCTATCTGCCTTGCCAGGCCAGCCTGGATTATGAGTATATGCTGTTGGCACTTAAATGATTATTGACCTCAGGAACTGCAGCAAATATGTAGGAGACACCTGATGTTTCAAGGGGGGTGAAGGATTCTTTAATTTTTTTCCCCTGGTAGTGGAAGCTCTGCACTGAGGGAATCCTGAAGTTAAGACCTGCAAGAAAAATCAACAATGAAGGCAAGTTGCCCCCACCCCATTAGGCCTACAACTGGCATTGCCCCGTAAAGTTAGTTTTAGGCAAGAGGGTTTGTTGTTTTGGTTTTTTTTTTTAAGTCATGGGATGAAAAAAAATCAGGAAATATTTTTCATTGTTGTTGTTAAATTCTGAAGTATATATGAAGAATTTTTGAACATGATGTAAAATTTAGTGATGAGATTAATAACATCACCTTATTTGAAAGAGTAGGTATGCATGATGGGGACAGTTTTGCACTTAAAGAAGGAGGAAGGAAGCTTGCTACCATCGTGGCATGCAGAGGATAGGATGAGCTGTTTCAGCACCTACTCATGACTAAAGTTGTCATAGTCTTAAGAGAGAACTTTGCTTATGGTGCATCTGATTTTTGTGAAAATCCGAACTACCTGTAGATGCTACAGTTCTGCTGTTTTTTATTTTTTGTTTTTGTTTTATGCTGAGTCTTTAAGGAAAGCATTAGCAAAATTTATAATTTGTTCCCAGATTGGCTCAAGCCCTGGTCCTGATGGGGTTGTATTTTCAGGCCAAGATCAACAGGCATTAGAGCATCAAAACAAACATTTTCTTAATTGTTTGAGACGACTGTGTCTAAATAAAGTTAAGAAATTCTGTGCCGTAAAGGGTGCTTAGAAGAACTTATTCATAAGATTGATGTCTTCTAAATGATCAGGGTCTAGAATTTAAACCCGTGGGAGATTGTTCAGAAAATTTTCCCCCACCCTTTTATTTAGCTTTCAAGAGCATAGTTCTTTTTTCATGGCATGTTGTGCTCTTTTAGCCAGATTTTTTTTTTCCTACAAAATAAATGGGTTGGGGGAGAAGGATACATGGAAAAATTTGTGGTTCTTTTGGCCATGGCAGTAAAGTCCAGGTGATATGTTCAAAATTATATCAGACATCAAGGATGAGAACTCACCATTTTCATGTGTAGGTGTTTACGGTGCAGCTGACACTTGGAGACCAGCACTGGGAAGCTGAAGGAACTAGTATTAAAAAAGCCCAACACTCAGCTGCTGCCAAAGCTTTGGAAGGAACAAAATTTCCTAAACCAACAGCCCGTCCTATTCGTAGCGAAGGAAGGAATCCAGGTATTATGCGTGGGCCAAGACAGGTTCCTTTCAAAAGTGTGTCTAGAGGTACCCATTTAGTATGTATATGAATGTTGCTTAACTAATGATCTTGAAAGCACAGATTATGCCCTATCAATGGCAAACTTCACATTTAGGAAACCTTCATCTTAATCTAGAGGCCTCCTATACAGAACATATGTATACTAGCATAAGGAGTAAAACATAAAGCCCTGAGTTCATCAAATAAATTTTCTCTTTGCATATAGAAACAAATTGAAGGAAGCTTGCCAGTGTTATTTTTTACTTTGAATCCTGCACTCTTAATACTAATTGGCTCTTTATATCACAGTATGTTCTAATGTTTTGATATAACTAAAATTACCTAGTTTTTTTCCTACAAGCAAGACTTGCATGAACCACAAAATAACCAATTGGGACCTCAGGAAAGGGGGAAGAGGGTGGTAGTTGAATTTAAAATTTAGTATAAAATTTGGATTTGTGTTTGAAATTGGTATTACCTCTTGCATTCAGCAGTCCCATGATTTTCATTCTTATTCTCATAACATTTGATGAAGGTACATTTTGGATTTGAATCTTTTTCTTTTTAAAAAAATGAATGTTTGTCATTGATGGTGTTTTTCTGTGGCTGTTGTAAAATAGCTATTCTTAAATGTGATTTAGACACTCATTTTTTTATGTCTAAAGTTTATTTTCTTTGGTAACTACTCAGGGGTTTATAAACTTGTAAAAGGAAAAAAATTCTTTTTGAATTTTAACACTTTTTAAAAATTACATGTAAAAACTATTTTTAACCTTTGTTTTTTATAATTTTACAAATTTTAGACTTTTTACAATTTTGAGTTCCAAATTCTTTCCCACTGTTCCTCCCTTCTTCCCCTGTCATTGAGAAGGCAAGCAATTTGATAAAGGTTATACGTGTGTAGTCATGCAAAACATTTTCATATTAGTCATGTAAAAGGAAACACAGACCAAAAAAACAAGAAAAATAAAGAAAGCAAAATAACAGTACTCTTCTGTCTGCATTCAGATTCCATCAGTTCTTCCTCTGGAGGTGGATAGCATTTTTCTTCATAGGTCAGAATTGTCTTAGATCTTTGTATGGCCGGGATTAGCTAAATCATTCACAGTTGGTCATTGTACAATATTGCTGTTCCTGTATACAGTGTTCTCCTGGTTTTGCTCACTTTACTTTGCATCAGTTCATGTGAGTCTTTCCAGATTTTTCAGAAAGCATCCTACTTGTATTTCTTATAGCAAAATAGTATTCCATTACAATCATATACCACAACTTGTTCAGCCATTTCCCAGTTGATGGGCATCCTTTCAATTTCCAATTCTTTGCCACCACAAAAAAGGCTTCTACAAATATTTTTGTATATATAGGTTCTTTTCCTTTTTTTTTCCCTAATCTCTTTTGGATACAGACCTAGTAGTGGTGTTTCTTGGTCAAAGCATATATGCACATTTTTATAGCCCTTTGGGCATAGTTCTAAGTTACTCTTCAGAATCAGTTTACAATTCCACCAGCCGTGCATTAGTTTCCCAGTTTTCCCACATCCCCTCCAATATTTGTCATTTGGAAAAGGAATCGTTTTTGGAAAAAGAATAGTGTACATTTCCAAAGATGATAGTCCTGATGTTGACTAAAATTATACTGACTTCTGTGGTATAAAAAAAGTGATTAGAATTTCTTTTCTTCTTTCTCTGAAAGGTAATACTGTAAGTCAAATACCATTATAAATAGCACAAGATGAAAATCTCTATATAACAAACATGCTTCCAAGGCCCCGATGACTCCATTAATTCAAATAATATCAGCTACATTAGAATTCACGAAACAATTTAGACAGTTTTTGGTAGTTATAAAAATGAATTTAATCTTAGGCTTCACTAATAAACATCTAGTATCAGAACAAGAGCAGTGAAAGTCTCACTGTACTATGTGCTACTCAGACCCACATCTCGAATAATGTGTTCTTTTTTAGATTCAACATTTTGGGAGGAATCTGGACAAACTGGAATGTGTTCAGGGGAGGGTAACCAGGATGGTGAGGGGGCCTTGAAACTGCTGTGTGAGGACTTATTTAAGATTCATGTGTGTGATGTTTAGCATTGAGACAAGAGAATTTGGAAGAATGTAATGACTCTCCTCAAATCTTTGATGTGAAAGACTGAACTTATGTTGCTTGGTTCCAGAGGGAAGAATGATGAATAGAAATAGAGATTTTAGGTTATTATGAGGAAAAATCCTAAGATACTGTGATAACTTTGATAATGTGATTTGACTTGCAGTAGAACTTAAGCTTATAATATCTAGCCCTGTATATCTGTCATTAATTTGTGAAATTGGTAAGCAATGTACATTAAATTGCTAACATACTAATAAAGTTTTCTGACATTAACTCCCTATGTGTGGAGAAATCACAGTATAATTATTCTGTTTCCTGACTTGGGTGACCATGGTTGAAGTACTTGTACCTTGTATCAAGAATCTAATTAGTGTATAGCATGCCATTCTTGATGACTTAATAAACTGAAGTTTTCTAATGTTGAAAAAAATAATTCTTGGTGTTTTGTATTACAGACAGTGTAACCCCAACAGTGGAACTAAATGCACTTTGCATGAAACTTGGAAAAAAACCAATGTACAAGCCTGTTGATCCCTACACAAGAATGCAGTCCACCTATAACTATAATATGAGAGGAGGTGCCTATCCCCCACGGTATGTTTCTTTAGATAAGGCATTTTTGCTGCATCCTTGAAAATAAAAATAAACCTTTAGATAAGACAGCATAGATAAGACAGTATTGCTTTGGCCCTTCCCAGCTTGCCCTCTGTTGAAATCCATTTTCTGCATGTTTTTTTAACTGTTGTCTTGACATTCTTACAAAAGCTGGCTTTGGAACGAGCATGTGTGCCCTAGGTAGTCTGTGTAGAGCTCACCTCCATTGTGTCTGACTTTCATGACCATAGGTCACATTTGAAGACTGTTTCAATGAACACCAAAAACTCTTTAGCATCTACTAAATCCTTGATTGTTACTTATTACTCACATTCTGATTTCTAAATGGTATGCTCAGGGTGCAGGGAGTAATCTAAGTGTTAATTCAATATGAAAATGATTGACTTCAAAAACTTCCAATTGTCAACAAAAAGCAGTATTATTTTCTACTTGACTGGGTCAGTACCATTAAGTTTAAGCAGCAGCCAGTAACTGATGCACCCTTCAGGCTGGGCCAATTTAAAGGATGATTCCTAAAACTAAGTCATCTAGTAATGAATAGAGAATTACAGAGACAAGACTCCCCTTTTAAAAACTGTGTTCCAAAAAAATTACAACTTATACTTACCATTTCCAAAGTGTTTCACATTAATTCTCACAGCATCATACTAGATAGGTATTATTCTTAGCCCCATTTTTTATTTTTTAATGCCATATGGCTTCAAAGCATAGCCTTATACAGTGGTTCTGGAGTCAGAAGATTTGGTTCAAATCCAGTCTCTGATGCTTACTAACTGTATGACCTTGGCAAGTGACATTTATCTCCCTGGGCCCCAATTTCCTCCCATCTGTTTACAAAACAAAAACAAAAAAGGAGGGAGTTGGACTACATAGCCTCTGAGATCCCTTCTAGCTCTAGCTCTGTGATCCTAAGAATGAAGACAAGTTAGGACCTGTAAGGACCAGATCAGTGGTAGAGATCAAGGGAGCATATATCTTTGGTTTTTGTCTCAGGTAACTAGATCCTAAAACACTGAGGACTGATAAACAGAAGTCAGCATGTTATATTGTTTTAGAATAAATAATTAGCTAAATTCCAAAGCGCTTTGAACTTGAGTTCCTTACTGTTCATACTGCCTAATGGTTGTGCCTCACCTTAAACTTCTAACGTCTTGTATTGTATCCATGTAAAATCCTTACTAGTAATTTAACAGGTTGGTGACCCTAGAGAAACTATGAAGAATGAAGTATTTTGAATTTCATTTTCTTAGATATGGGTCAGATAGAAATCTCAGAATGTAACTCTCCTTCCCCCTCTTCCCTTACCTATTTCCTGATTGTTTTTTTTTCTTTAGGTACTTTTACCCATTTCCTGTCCCACCTTTACTTTATCAAGTTGAACTTTCCATTGGAGGACAGCAGTTTAATGGGAAGGGACGAACAAGACAGGCAGCAAAACATGATGCAGCTGCAAAGGCACTAAAAATCTTGCAGAATGAGCCCCTGCCTGAGAAACCAGAGGTAAGGATCTCATTATCAGTTTTGTCTGTTTATCTTTCCTCATCTGCTTCCCTGTTATGCATTTGCCCTCTGAAAAATGCTAGTGGCTTCCTAATACTGATGGAAAACTTTGAAATTCTGGCCCCTTGCTTCCTTCATACCATTTCTAGTATTTTCATGAAAGACCTCTAACCTTAAGGCATAATCTTTGCTGTGTGTCACAGTAGAGTTGTGAATGGCTAATATATTCTTAGGTAGTAAAGGTGGTTTTTACCTGTTAGGACCTCTTGTGATTTTGTGCTATTACATTTATTTAAAGTGATGCTATTACATTTATTTAAAGAAAAATGTTTTTAGATATTTCTTTTTTTTGGAGGGGGGTGAGTCAGGGTTTAAGTGACTTGCCCAGGGTCACACAGTTAGTAAGTGTCAAGTGTCCGAGGTCACATTTGAACTCGGGTCCTCGTGACTCCAAGGCCAGTACTCTATCCGCTACGCCACCTAGCTGCCCCTTTTTTAGACATTTCTGAGGCTGACATTTAGTCTAAGAAAAGATTTTCTTTATGTAGGAAAATTATTTTTACCATTTTTGTTTTCTCTGTGTCTTTTGTTTCTTACTACATGAGAGTATAGCACTTATGAAATAAGCACCTATATGCTGTTGTGGGCTCAGGTTCAATGGGGCTGCTGCTGATATATTTTGGCACATGCAACTTAGGTGGCAATTTACCTTAGTCAGCAGGATAATAGGGTTAAGGGTATAAATGAGACCAAAGTATGCTTTTAATTTAAAATATCTGAGCAATTCTGGCATTCTGCCTAAAGAAGTAGGAGAAGAAAGACATTATTCCTCAGAGTTCATGGTACTAAAGTAGGCAATAGGCTCATATCACACTTAAAAAGATCATACCCAGATTTTATGACCTACCTCAGTCACAATATAGTTGATAAACTGAGAGAAATGTTTATCTTCAGTCAAACTTAAACAAGACTTGATTATGCCCCTGGTCAGCATTTCAGTTTTTTCTTCCAAAGAAATAGACTTCCAGACCAGAAACCGATAGTTTCTTCATGGGAAGTCTTGAGCTGCAGTGTATGGTTCTAATGCGTGTGTGTGTGTGTGTGTGTGTGTGTGTGTGTGTGTGTGTGTGTCTGTCTGTCTGTCTGTCTGTCTGTCTCTGTCTGTGTGTCTGTAACTGAGACCTCGGATGAGCAGAAACACAAGATTGATATGACAGGGTTGGTTTTTCAATTGTTACTGCTATTTTTCAGTGACATGTTCTTAGGGAAATTTTTTGCTTTCCTTCTTTCTGAGGACAAAATAAGATGCTAATGCGGGAGAAGGAAGGATTTAGGTTATACAAAAATAATTCCTGACAAGGTTATAAAAACACTTACCAAAAGAAACTGCAAATCTGATTTGTATGAAAGACTTTCATTTATCTAGCATATAACTCAGTAAAATGAGGGTCATAACATCTGTACTACCTATCTTGTAGGGTTGTTGTCAGGCCCAAATGAAATAATGTATATAAAGCACTTTGCAAACTTGTAAAGTGTTATAGAATTGTTTTTTATAATCTCTAGACGTAGTTCAGACTAAAGGTAGAAACATTATGTTTCAAAAGAAATAGGTGTTTTTTTAGCCTCTTTTGAATGGTGTTAGGGAGTGATTTTAATAAAATTCAGCAATGTAAAATACAATCAGTATTTTGGGGCAGGTGTATTAGGGTTCCTTGTGATATCTGTATGTCACAATGTTGTTGAAAAAGGAGCAAAAATATTTTAGTACATTTGTATCTCTTAAATCTGATGACATAACCTTAATGAAAGTAAGCCTGTCAAACTAGAACATCTTTAAGATTAATGTGCAAATACTTCTCTTAGTTACAATTTCATTGGCTGATTTGTAGCTTATGAAATATGCACCATGAGTGTATTTTAAACTGATTTATGCCCTTAAGAGCTTTATGGATTGAATCATAATGGCATAAAGGCTTATGCTTGTAAAATTAGTAGGTATAACTTTTCATGAAGGGAGCATTTTTAATGGAGTGTTAATGAAAATAATTGTTCCAGAGTGTACCCAAAGTTCTCTATACGGTTATATTAAGCAGTTGAATAAAGTTAAAGAAAAGATCCCTTCAAGAGAGTGATAAGTTCCTCTTATATGTATTATTGCTACATAGATTTTCAAAGGTAGGCTATTTTATGGTAAAATAACAATAAAAATTTGATATAATACAGTTAGTTTGTAAGGGGCAAGTGGATATACTATTACCAGCATCAGCATTATAAAGGACTTTTACAACATTTAATTTATTTTTTTGTTTTATTGGTATTTTTTTTGACATCATAATCTTTTCCAAATATATCCTCTACCTTTCCTTGTAACAAAGATAACATCAACTGGAAAACAGTTTTGTGGGAATTAAATTTAGACCAATGTCTTTTATCACATGCCACAGTATGTTCAAAATGAATATGTGACCAGAATATAAAAGGTAATGCCATTTAAAAAATTAGAAGAGAAAAAGATAGCTTTTCACAGCTATATGACCAAGAAGAGCTCTTGACTAAACAAGGGTTAGGATCCATTACAAAAGATAAAATATATAATTTCTGTAACATGAAATTAAAAACTTTTACATGAAAAAACCAGTGGAAGTAGAATAAAGGTGGAAGCTGTTGATTAGGGGAAAAAAATCTTTGCATCTTATGATGTCTAAAAAAGATCTACTATTCAAGATAAATGCACATACATGAAGAACAAGAGCCATTCTTCAATGGATAAGAACAAACTGTAATAAGCTTGACCCCACAGAAGAGATAGGAGGAGGCACTTCCACTCTTCTTTGAAGAAACAGGAGACTATAGGTGTGGAACACTACATATATCAGACTTTTTCAATATGTTAGTTTTGCTAAACTGTTTTTTTTTCTTTTTTCTTTTTTGTTATAAAGAATGGCTCTCAGGGTGAAGTAGGGGAGGAGGAAATTAGGAAATTTAATGATGTAAAAACAATTTATCAATAATTTTTAAAAAATAAATGTCCATACCCCTTGGCCCAGAGAACTCATAACTCAAGGAGGTTAAAGATAGGACAAAAGCCCTGTATGAACCAAAATATAAATACAACATGGCAGCTAGATGTTTAAGTGGATAAAGCACTATTAATAAATTTGATGTAATCAAAATTATCAATTTTATGTCTCAGTATGAACTCTTATCTGGGCACGAACTCTTCCCTTATCCATAAATGTAACAGATAAAATATTTCATGCTCCTTGATCTGCTTATGATAATCACTCTTTATGTCTAAATAATGTAACCTTTTGATCTTATCTTGGTATATGGTTTGAGATGTTGATCTGTACCTAGTTTCTGCCAAATTGGTTACAAATACTGACAGTCTTAGTTGATCTATGTTGGTTAGTTTTGCTAAACTAGGCTGGGGGGAAGGGATGTATTTGAAGATGAAGAAACATAAAAATAAAAAAAATCAATAAGAAATTTTTTTTAACAGTTCAACAAAACCAAATAGCATGTCAGCTGTTGCAAAGCCAGCATTCTTTCACTTATTGTCCCCTCACTTCTCCAAGTGATGAAGTTAAGGTATACGTTCTCAATCCTTCCTGGGTTAGGCTTGATCATTACAACATATTCTGTTTTCACCTGACTGTTCTCTACATTTATATTGTTGTAGATGTGTATGTGGTTTTCCTGGTTATGATTATTTCATTTTGTATTAATTAACAAATCTTCCCATGTTTCTCTGAATTCTTCACGTTTGTCATTTCTCATGGCACAGTAATATCCCATAACATTCATATACCACATCCTGTTTAGCCATTCCTCGATCAGTGGTGCCCACTATTTTGCTAGTCCTTTACTACCACAAAAAGCACTCTTAATGGATATTTTGGTATATATGGGACTTTTCTTTTATGTTTTTTATTTCTTTGTGATATATATCTAGCTGTAGGATCTCTGAGTCAAAGTATATTGACATTTTCAGTCACTTTTTTTTTGTTTTGACATAATTCCAAATAGCTTTCTACAATGGACATGGATCATTGCTCCACCCTATATAGTGTGCTGATTTCCCAAAGCCCCTCCAGTATTAACTGTTTACAGCTATTGCTATCCATGCCAGTTTTCTAGGTGTAAGGTGAAACCTGAGAGTTGTTTTATTTTTCACTTTTATTAGTGACTTGCAGGAATCTTACATATGGTTTGTAATTTGTATGGTTTCATGTATTTTTCAATTTATTAAATCTCAAATTTATGTTATGTCACTGATACCCAATTTTATTAAGTCACTGATCCATTCATTCAGAGAAACAAACAGATTTTTTTTATATGTTATTTTTTTTTGGTGGGAGGAGGTCCAGGCTTGTGTTTTTGTTGATATAGATGAAAGCAGCTCTTAGTGAGGGAACTCCTTTAACCAATACAGATCAGCCACTTCTGTGCATTCAATAAGTGCTAGAGAGTTGCTCAGGACACTAAGAAATTAAGTGACATGCCCCGGGACCACAAGAACCAGTTTGTGTCAGAGGCAGGACTTAAATCCAGGTTATCCTGACTCTGGGACCAGTTCTAGGTCCACTGCCTTACTGCCTCTTAGTAATTATGGAAGTTAACACTTTTCTTCTCTGTTCACTTTTCAAACTTAATCTGTATCAAGGGATCACTTTAACTACCAATGTGACACATACATTTACCTATATGGAGGAGTGAGGCAGCTGCTTAACAGCCGTAGGGAACATTGACAAATGGTTTAGAACAAAAAGTGGAGCTAAATCATGAAAACTTAGGTAGGTAGACTGTAGCTGACTATTGGTGAAGGCCAAGAGTATTTACTTCCCATTGTTTTCATATGTTGCTGATAGAATTGTAATAATTGCCAGTGGCTATAGGCTTGGCCTTTCTTCTGTTAGTCAAAAAACCTACTGCTGAATCATTATCCTTGCGTAAGATAGATTTTTTTTTTTTGGCTAGGCAGTGGGGTTAAGTGACTTGCCCAGCTAGTAAGTGTTATGTGTCTGAGGCCGCATTTGAATTCAGGTCCTCCTGAATCCCAGGCCGGTGGTCTATCCACTGCACTACATAGCTGCCCCCTCTAAGATAGATTTTTGATGTGGGAAGATGATATAATCAGATATAAAAGCATAAAACAGAAAACTTTAGCCATAAATCAGAGTCTTTTATGGAGTCACGGAGCATAGGATCATATATTTAGAGCTTGAAGGGTGTCTTAGAAATCATTTAGTTCAGCTCCCTGAATTTATAGATGAAGAAACAAAGTAAAAGGTTAAATGTAGGTTTTTTATATATATATATATATATATATATATATATATATATATATATATATATATATATATATAAAGTAGTAGAACTGGAATCTAAGCCCATTTTCTCTTTTCTTTAAATCTAGCATTTTTTCTACTTTACTACGCTGAATCCCCTTAAGGATTCTGGAGTCCAACAGCATTCTTTTGGAGTTGCAGGAAGTAAGGTTCAGAAATTAAGTGATTTGCCCAGGGCCACACAGGTAATTCAAGGCATAGGACTAACCATGGGCTTCCTGACTATATTATGTCATAGGGTGGGATGTGCAACACACTTAATACTTCACCATGCTGCTTCTCATGTCTTCTAGCCCAGTGCTTTCTCCACTATTCCCATATTTCCACAGAATCCTTGGCTTTAGTTGAACCATGATTATTTCTTTTTTAAAAAAATACATTTTATGATGCCTTTTGTTTTTATATTATAGTCATTTCCCATCCAAACTGAGCTCTCCCTTTTGACAAAGAAAACAATTAAGACAAAACATCCAACATGCATGTTGTGTCAGACAGTATATACAATATTGGGTCCTAGTATTCCCACCTCCTCTCTGCCATGAAGGAGGAGGTATAATTCATTATTTCTTCTCCTGGACCTTCCTTGTGTTTTTTTTTTGTCCATTACTCACAGTTCATCTTTTAATGATCTTTTCCTTCACATTATGATATTTGATGTTCTTTTGCTTCTGCTTACTTTGCTCTGTATCATTTCATGTGAATCACTTCCCACATTTCTCATATTTGTCATTTCTTACTGCACAAAATGTTGCATTTTATTCATTTTTCAGCCAGTCCTCAATAGAAAGACATTGCTACCACCAAAAGTGCTGCCATGAAAACTTTGCTATATAGTAGATCTTGTTTCTGTCGGAGTGCTAGCTAGATAAAGCGTAATGGACGATTTAGTTACTTTTCTTGCATAATTCCCAATTGAAATACAGGATAGTGAGAGCACCTTACAGCTTCATCAGCAGTATATCATTGTGCCTACAACAGGATTACATCTTCAAGATGATAATTGCCATCCTGTTCTCAGAGGGCAGTTATCCTGAGATTGTTAATGTGTTATCCTTAGCTAGTCAGCACTCTACCTTTAAGAGTGTAGAAGAGAAATAGTCTACATGGGGGTCTCACTGCTGACACAGGTAAGTCTTTCAGATGCCCGTGATATGTCATCTTCTTGCTGAAGTAGGCCAGTCAGAATAGGATTTAGTTATAGATGAACTGTGATGAGACTAATGTTTCATTAGATAAGTGGTAAAGACTGATCCTGACATTCAAAGCTATCTGTAATCTGCTTCTGTTCTACCTTTTCAGCCTTTTCTCACACTAGCTTCCATCACTCAGCCCCACATTCCAGCTAAACTGGATTATTCTCTGCCCCCTATTTTCATCCTTTCCTCTTTAATCCTCTTGTCTTTGTTCACTCTAACTTCCATTCCTAGAAGCACAGCTACCATCTCCCTTAAAAGCCCAGGATTCTACATCTTTCATGAAATCTTCCCTGACCGCTCTCTACCCTGTCACCCCAGATAAAAAACAATCTCTCTGTCCTTAAAATTTTTTTTTTATACGCTATCAGCCTTTTTTTTTATAGCCTTTCATACTCTTTCTCTTATCATAGTTGTTTCTCTGTGTATGTTGTATATCGGAGCTAAGCACAGTGCCTGGCACCTAATAGGTGCTTAGCGAATGCTAGTTAACTTGACTTCCACATCTAAGATTGTGAACTCTTTTGAGTGCAGGGTTGCTGTTGTATCTGTACTTTTAAGTTCCCATAACCTAGCACTGATTCTTCCAAGTAGTAGATAATAATGTTGAGTTGAATTGAGTTAATTTGTTGAATTAAAGATATTCATTAGGCCTTGTTCATCTATCTGAATCATTTGGTGTATAAGGAGCCATACACATTTGGTGTATCTAGAGCTGGAATGGAACTCAGAAGTCATCTAGTATAGGGTTTCTTAAACTTTTTCCACTTGTGACCCCTTCAGCACTTTTTAAACTGGGGTTGCGATCCCAAATGGGGGACCCACAGTTTTAAGAAGTGCTAATACAACTGCCTCATTGTATAGAGGAGGAAACTGAGGCCCAGAGAAACTAAATGGCTTATGTAAGGTCACATGGCAAGTTAGTGTTGGTGCAGGGAGCAGAGATTCAGACTAAGGTCCTGTGACTCCAAATCCAGTTCTTTTTGAATTCTGATTGACTTTTTAAAGAATACTATGCAGAGTAACTTCATTATGGTTTCTCTAAAGCCCAGATAAGAATTCATAAATTATTTCTTCTAGATAACTAAAATAATTTTGCTACTAATGCTCCCCACCCCAGCTCCTTTAGGAAGCTTTGACTTAGAGTTCATCCTCCTCTGATTAAAAAAAAAAACGTTCACCCTGTACAGATTCTTTCTCCTAAGAGTTTACAGTAACAACAAAAATACAAGCATGTGTTTAAGTTAATAAACTACCAGAAATACCATATGATATAATTTTGACTGGGCCAAAAGTACAGTGAAAATCAGATATGAATGAGAATGCTAGGAGCAAAGAGAGGGAAATTAGATAGTTAATAACAGAACATAATTAGAGGCATGGTTATGGTCTCAGCAACATTAAGGTGATATTTTTTACTTAGAATTTAATTTCTTTCATTTAGCTGTACCCTTACACTTGCTGCTTTTGTTTTTTTTCAGGGTAAGATATACCTTATCCACTTGAATTTTAATCCTAGCTCTGCTACTAGTTTGTTTGCTGTTGGCAATGTGTTTAACTTCTCTGGCCTTTAATTATCTCATTGTCTACTTGATGGACACAGTGAAATGTACAGCACATATACAGTATTGAACAGCCTGTGCAGACTTCTGTGTGATGCTATGGTCCTGTCCACATTTAAAGATCTATGATCTTGGGTTTTAGTCCAGTACTGCTCTGCTTTTAGAAGCATTTCAAGAGAAGGAAAATGGTCTTATAAAATATTTAAAATTCTCCTGCCACTAAAGCAATACATGATGATCAAAAGTATAAGTTTAGAGAAGTCAAGAAGGATAAAGTCTGATAAAAGGCCATTACGCTTGGCAATTAAGATAAGAACTAAATAACCATTTTACAGATGAGTTTCTATTCTTACATTTCTGGTCCCCAAAAGTCCCAAACATTTTCCAAATCCTTTGCTGAATCACTTCCCTGGGTAAAGGAAACTATACACTTATACTCTGATGGCGAACTTTTCCAAGATCATTGCTCTCTCAATCTCTTTTCCAGTTAGACTAAATTTTCCATTTTCTTACGTCATCATTAAACTTTTAAAATACATTGTTGTTGGGGACTGCTAGGTGCTACAGTGGATAGAGTACCTGCCCTAAAGTCAGGAGGAACTGAGTTCAAATGTGACCTCAGACACTTGATACTTACTAGCTGTGTGATCCTGGGCAAGTCACTTAAATTGCCTAGCCCCCCCATTCCCCCCAAAAAATAATACATTGTTGTTGATTAGTTCTGTTTAACTAGAGGCTTGTGAAATATGTATAGAATTAAAAAGGTTAGTGTTAGTTTGCATCCCGAAGTTAACTGGTAGAACATTAGCAAAAGAAGTCTGTCAGCATCACATCACAACCTCTTTGTCCACTGTACTCTCCATGCCCTCTTTTCAGATCAGTGTAAGATTACTTCAAATCCATAAAAACCTCCAAAACCCTAATATTCTATGTGTTGAGAGGCTTATTTTTGAACACATGTTGACCTGTCAGTCTTTTAGTAGATTACGAATCTTCCAAAATAAGATTTGGTTTTCTGTTGCCCATTAAAGATTTAATGGTCAAGCCATAGCCCTCATCAGGAGTGGCACATGTCTGCAATGGAATTTAGTGCCAAGAATATCCAAAGAGATTTACTTACACTTTTACCTTACCTGGTTGATTGCCGGTGGTGGATTTGAGGCATAATACAACTTGATTTTAATAGGCTGTGACTATTTTGGCCACTTTAATAATGATACCCATAAGGCAGAGGTTTGAAGGCTTTTGGTTTTGTGGTCTCATCAGACAAGTTTCCTGACAGCTTTAATATGTGATCGTTTTTAAATGACTAATCTTCTAGGTGAATGGAAGAGAACCAGATGATGAAAATCTCAATAAATCTGAAATAAGCCAAGTGTTTGAGATTGCACTTAAACGGAACTTGCCTGTGAATTTTGAGGTAAGCTCATTAATAAGCAAGAATGAAGTTTATACTAAGAAATACTCAAGTACTAGTAAAATACTCAATACATTTTGGAGAAAGTGAGTGTGAACTCTACAGTTTTCTGTAGTTTGAGACCCTTGATTTAACCTTGGAGTTTAGTTATTTCTCTAGGATTTCATGTGATGTCTTTGAGAGGTTTCCCAAGATCCTTTTGAGAAATTATGTTTTTAAAAGCTACTTATATACTGCTTTTAAGAATTATACCCTACCTTTCCAACTGCATATACTTCAAGCAAATCTCCCTGTAAGAAATCCAAAATAGAAAGCAAATACATTCAATATTGTATTGGATTACCTGAAAAGGACTAAATCCAATTAGTTTAGGAAGGCAAAGAGAAAAGGATTTTTATTTTCCAAAGATACTTTAAATATATTTGGTTTTGATTTGCATATTTGAATGTGCAAAGCATACTTTCTCTTTTTCCCAATTTGTCTACTAGTCTCAAAAACAAAGTTTCAGAGCTTTATTTTTTAGAAATTATAGCTAGATACCTCCACATTTTCTCCCATTTTCACCTTTAAGACTGAAAACAGCTAATGTAGACTTTCAAAAGAGTTCTCAACTTTGATCAAATACTGTAATACTGGGCCAAAAAAAAATTCTTGTTATTGCAGTGATAAGGAAAGGTATAGTTTCTGAATATATTTTTTCCCCCTTAAACAGGATAGCTATAATTCACTCTCTTGTAAAATACTTAGGTCTTAACCATTAAAATGTAGCATTTTTATAGACAGACTTGATTTGGTATTTTACCTGTGAATGTAGCCCTAACCCTAATTCTACTTCTAACTCTAACCCTAACTTTATTTATATTTGTGAAATTGTAGGAGCTCCCTCGGTGGTTAATACATCTTTTAAATAAACACTTTTTTTAAGTCAAAATGTACTGTGTTGAGTGTTTCTGTGTAATTATTTGAAAGTTTACATTTGCATTATACTCTATAATATTTCTGATAACGACTTTGACAGTTTTTTCCTGACTAAATTAATTTTTGATGCAAATATGGACTAAATTAGAAAACTAGGCTAAATAAAATATTTTGGTAGGAAAGACTAGAGAGAGTTACATATCTGGTGCTTTAGTAAAATTTATACAGAGTTTAAATGTTCATAATACATTTGCAAATGTAGTTAGAAATGTGATATTATTGTGTGGTGGGATCACTAGTGGGCATTAGTACAGTGTCATGTGTTCATACCAGTCACCAGTAGAGATTTTTAAAAAGTAAAAGTTCAAAATGATGAAATTGCATCTGGTGTTTGAGTAATAAGTTGATTATATATAAAACATCACTGGAAAATATTCCCGAGATGTACAAATGGAGCCATGAAATTACAGTAGAAGAATTATGGAGCCAGATGGGACATTGGAGATGGAGCCCACCACCCCTTCATGTTATAGAGGTGAAAATGGAGATCCTGAGAGGGGAATGAATTTTCCCAAGCTCATATGACAGAGCTGCAACACCAACCTAAGTCTTTTGATTCTGAAGGCACTGTTGGTCTCATTATGCCACTCAGTTTTTATCATTTGGGGGTAACATGATGAGGTTGAGATAGAATTTGTGGGGAATACTTAAGATACCTAGAAATAGATAGGATGAAGAGGAAATACAAAAACACACGCAGAAATGTATCGGAAATTCACAGAAGTTAATGATGAATTGCTTCTTCAAACCATGTGTTGTAATATTCAGACATTATTTTTGTTACAAGTAATTGTGTTAGTTAATAAAGTCGTATACATTATATTGTATCTCTCTATACATGTGCCATATTTGCAAAGCAGAACCATACTAGGAAGGAATTAAATGTCCAGTGTCCTCTGCAGCCACAGCTGCTTGGCTCTCAGCCTTGCTGTGAGGTCACTTGTTTGTCTTTAGTGCCCTCCGTCTCTCTCCTCTGGCTATCCAGATCTACTCTGGAGAAGAGATAATATCACACATTTGATGTGTTCCCTGTACGACTGGGGGTAGTTGTGGTATAAAATGTGGTAGAGTGGTAAGTTTAATACTTGGATTTTAGTGATTTTGGAATTACTAAGAATGTTATTATCTTTTTGTACTGTAGTCTAGTCCATAGAATTTTAGAGGAGCTAGAAGGGGCCTTAGAGGCCATCATGTCCAACCCCCTCATTATACAGATGAAGACGCTGTGGTTTTGAAATGTTAAAGTGATTTGCTCAAGGGAGTGACCGATGCAGGATTTGAACTCAGGTTTTCTGGCTCCATATCCAGTGTTGTTTCTTTTGTGCTACGATGCTGCTCCACTGTGTGACTTTGGGCAAGTTATGTCACTTCTTGGTTTCAGTTGTTTTGTCTGCAAAATGAGGAAAATTTCCCTGCTGTTGCATGCCAACCTGTAGAGTGAGACTGAGTTCTCTTGAGAGCTTTTAAAGATGCAAATGTGAAGGGTCACAAAAAAGGTGGAAAACAACAAAATAGCCTTGAAAGATCAAGGAGAAAAATGTTCCTTTATATACATTTCCTTGAGATGTCATATATCTCATTTAGAAGTTCTGTCCTTTAACCCCCATTCTGTATTTCGTGTTAATGAACTTTGCTATAACCAGTGTCCCCTACCATTTTTAATAAGTGTTTATCACGCTTTCACTCAGTTTTTCCCTCTGAAACAGGTCACCAGGGAGAGTGGCCCACCTCACATGAAGAGTTTTGTGACAAAAGTATCAGTTGGTGAATTCATGGGTGAAGGTGAAGGAAAAAGCAAGAAGATTTCAAAGAAAAATGCTGCTATAGCTGTCCTTGAGGAACTAAAGAAATTACCCCCCCTTCCAACAGTTGAAAAAATGAAGCCACGAATAAAAAAGAAAACAAAATCAATAGTTAAGGTCAGAACACTTTCTTTTTTTTGTCACTTGTGGTTTTATTGATATGTTTTTTTTACATTACATGCATATACAGATTACTCCCACAGTACAATGACCTCATCTGAAAGTGCATGCAATCTCACATCTGTAGTACCCCTCTTTTAAAAAAAAAATTAACAAATCTATTCTCTCTCCCTCTTATGCGTCACTTCATTAAAAAAAACTCTTTCAACAAATATCCAGTGGCTATATACAAAAATATATCTATCATATTCTGTGCCCCAAATTTGTCATCTCTCTCTCTCTCTCTCTCTCTTGAAGACCAGGCTTCATCATGAGTACTTTGGCCTCATGAATGGCCATTGTTATTGATGATGGTTCTTGCAGCTTTCACAGTTGCTTGCTTTTACAATGTTGTTGTCCATGTATAAATTGTGCTCCTGGTTCTGTTTATTTCACTGTTTATCAGTTTACAACATTCCTCAGAATTGTTCATTTTTACAGTATTGATGTTAGGGTTTAAATTGTTCTTTTGGTTCTGCTCACTTCACTCTGCATTAGTTCATATACTACAACTTATTCAAAATGCTTTCCAATGAAGAAGACTTTTAAGTTGCTGCTTGATTTAATTTTTTAAATGTCATGTTAAAAAATTTAATTTAATTAATTCAATTTTTTTAAACTTTTCACATCACATTCATTTCTAAAAATATCCCTTCCAACTCTTATGTAGCAAGCATTTTTAACCAAGCATAAAAAGAGCAGTAAGAAGCAGATGAATGAAACTTACCAACACATTTATTATGCCTATTGTAGTACATGCAGTATTTCACACCAATAGTCTCTCACCTCTTTGATGAAAGGAGGAAGGTACATTTTCTCAACTCTTTTGGGGGCAAGCTTGGTTGTTATAATATACAGCATTCAGTTTGAGTCTGTTCATTCATTCTATTTACATTGTTGTAATCATTGTGGATTTTTTTCTCAATTATGCTTACTGAAGTCTTCACTTCATGTAAGTCTTCTTAATGCTTCTCTGAATTCTTCATATGTGTTGTTTCCTAGAGCACAATAATTTCCATTACATTTGTATACTACTCTTTCTTTAGGCATTCTCTAAAAGTACCTACTTTGTTTCAAAATCTTTGCTACTACAAAAAAAAAAGATATTGTGAATGATATTTGCAAATAGAGGACCTTTCTTTATGTTTTGCATCATCTTGTACCCATTGACTTTTTTTCTTTACTGTTTTTGTTTTTGCTTTTTGGTGAGGCAATTGGGGTTAAGTGACTTGCCCAGGGTCACACAGCTAGTAAGTGTCAAATGTCTGAGGCCAGAATTGAATTCAGGTCCTTCTGACTCCAAGGCTGAAGTTCTATCCACTGTGCCACCTAGGTGCCCCCACCACTAACTTTTTAAAAAAAGTTTTTTATTGCTATCTATTGTTTTATTACATCACCTACATTTTAAATTATATCCCTACTCCTTCCCCCTCTTAGAAAGCTATCCCATATAGTGAAACATTTAAAAGAGGGAAAAAACCCCAATTCAGCAAATTAGCCAGCACTTCAGAAAAAAGGCTGACGTTATATGCAGTCAGAATTCCATGCCCATAATCCCTTACCTGATAGTTTTGTTGTTCTGCCTTTTTACATTATCATAATCTATATGTGTAAAATATTGTGTATGTTTATATATATTTATATATATATAAAATTTTTCTTAGTTCTGCTTTGCATCATAAGATCATAAATGTAGATCTAGAAAGGAACATTCGTAGTCTCTTTTCTCATTTTTTCATTTTACAGATGAGGAAACAGAGGCCAAGGGGTTGTCACTTCCCCACGGTCATACAGGGGTAGTAAATAGGCAGTGCCAGAAATCATACCTGGGCCATGTGACTTCAGTTTAACCATTCATTCAGGTGTACCATACTCACTCCTACCAGTTCATATAAATCTTCACATAACTTCTCTGTAGTTACTCTATTTGACATTTCTTACAACGTATATTCCGTTATGTTCATTTGCCACAACATGTTTAGCCATTCCTTCATAAACAAGACTAGTTGATTTACTGAATTTTAGAGCTAGAGGAAACTTCTGAGATAATGTAGTTCAATCTCTGTCAGAAGCCTGAATCCCCTCTAACCTTTGCAAAGTCCAAAAAATTTCAGAAGAATAATTGACCCAGCCTCCCTGGGCCTCTGTTTTGTGAATTATAAAATGAAGTGGCATTGCATGTGAGGATGCTAAGGCCTATTCCAGCTCTAAATCTGCGATCCTGTGATTTTGAACAATCCACAAACATTCACTAAGCATCTGCTGCATGCAAGGCACTGGAATTACAAAGACAAAAATAAAACAGTCCCTGCTCTTAAGGAGCTTCCATCCTGTCAGGGAAGCATGCACATGCACGTACGTGCTCACACACATATAAATAAATAAAAAGTAATGGGCAGAGATACTAGCAACAGAAAGAATCAGCAAAGACATTGTGTAGAAGGTGGTGTTTGACTTAAGCTTTGGAGGCAATTAGAGAGTCTTTGAGCAGAGATGAGGAGGAAGAATATACCAAAGATGGGGCATGACCATTATAAAGGCACAGCGCCAGAAGAGGAAGAGTTTGCATGTGGAGCATCAGCAAGACCAGTTCAGGGGACTATGGAATGTGAGAAAGGAAGAAATAGTTAATATACAAGGTGTTCCATTACTATCTTAAAATTGCCATAAGACTTTTGGGTCATCTTGTATACTAAGCCTGGAAAGGTAGGTTATGAAAAGTTTTGAATGACAGTGGTTTGTATTTTATCCTAAAAGTAACAAAGCCATTGGAGTTCATTGAGTTTAGAAATGCTCGTCAGTTGTGTGCTTTAGGATAATCACTTTGGGATATGTGCAGTGGGTAGATTGGAGAGGATAGCTAATGGTTGTCTAGTCTCTTCTGAAGCCCTTCAGTGACAGGGCACCTGTTTTTTGATTGCTCTGATTAATAACAGATTCTTTCTTAAATTTGAGCTGAAAACTGTTTCTTATACTTTCTGCCATTTGTTCTGCCCTCTGGAACTAAGCAAATGCTAAATAGGTACTGCCTCATTATATACTTCAAGAATGTTTTTAGTTCAGCAGTTTGCCCTTCCCATCTCTTCTCCCTCCTCCTACCTTCACAAAAACAAAATAAAATAAAAAATAACCCACCACCAAATAAATACTCCTTTTCTTCTAGAAAGAATGGTATATACCCTCCATCTCGACCTTCCTGAGCTCTTAATAACTGTTGATTACATCCCCTGCAGTTCTTCCTTCTGAACCGTCTCTTTCAAAGGTCATCAGTGATTTTTTAAAAATCTTACTGATGATATCTTTTGTTTTCATATGACTTTAATTTCCTAATTTGTGGCTCCCTTTTCCCAACAAAAAATAAGAAAGATTGCTAAAAAGAAAGTTCAGCGACACTAGCCATGTCATGCCAGTTTGACATTATATACATATGCTGTGTTCTATACTCATATCCCTGCACCTGTGCAAAGAAAGTAGTGAGGTATGCGTTGTCTTACCTTTCCTTCAAGTCTCTTTTAATTTTTTTGTTCTTCTTGTTTCTTACAACCAGTAACTAACTAAATCTAATGCCCTTTTCTCAGTCCTCATCCTGTCAGCCTTTCTGTAATATTGAGTTGTTTGTTGTTGTTTTTTTTTAACTATCTTTTCCACCTGATTTCTCTCTTCAGGAGCTTTCGTGTCATTGTTTTACTGGTTTTCCTCTTCCTATATGACTGTTCTTTCTCAGTCTCTTCCAATTCATTATAATCTTCCTCTTGCACCCTAAGCAGGAGTGCTCCCAAAGGCTCTATCCTAAGTTTTCTAGTCTCTTCCTTTGGTGAATTCATCTGCTGTCATGGGTTCAATGATCACCTCTGCAGAAATCACCCCTAATGTATGTAGTTCTGATTTCTTAACAGAGGCTATCTGCTTCTAAATTTATATATTTCTGATTCTTAATCTTTCTGAACTTCAGGGCCACACTAGGCAGCTAGGTGGCATATCGTGTGTGCTACCTTCCCTCATTTGTGAAATGGGGATGATAAGAATAGCACCCATTTCACAGGGTTATTTTGAGGCTCAAATGAGATAATATGTGTAAAACATTTTGCAAACTTTAAAGCACTGTATAAATGTTAGATATTATCCCCTTTTGCTTACTAGGCATCTCCATTTGGATCTCTGGCCAGCACCTCAAACTCGATATATCTCACTCATCATCATATTCTCCTCCCTACAAACAGACAGCTAGCCCCTCTTACTGTGGTTCTTTGTTTCTGTCAGTGGTGCCCCCATCCTTCAAGTCAGCCAAGCCTTTGAGTTATCTTCAGCTTTTCCTTCTCCCTCATCCAGTCCGTTGCCAAGTCTTGTCAATTCTGCCTCCCTAACATTTCTTGCCCCAGTTCTTTTGTTTCCACTCACACAAGCCACCACACTAGTTCAGGCCTATCCTGGACTATTATAGTAACTTCTCATTTGGCTCTCTGCCTCAAGTCTCTCTCCTATCCTGTTAATCTTCCACATATTTATCAAAGTGCTAGTCTCGAAATAAAGAACTGATCATGTCAGTTGAACAGATTACAATTTGTATACCTGCCAATAATATAGAAATTCATCTGTGCAAAAAGTCCATTTTATAAAGCCTGACGTTTTGGGTTTGATATTGATAAGATGATCTGTATATGTCTTCCACCTCTGTGTTCTTGTACTCTGGCTTATTAAAATTCATTTTTATATTATAATAACAGTTCACATTTTAGAGTACTTTATTAAATACTTACCTCATTATTCTCTTGTGAACTAAGCAGGACAAGTATTCTATTATGCTACAGATAAAGAATTTGAGACATAGAGAAGCTAAGTGATATATCTCTATCCATGTGGCTGGTGTCAAAGCTAAAATTTGAACTTAGGCTCTTGTCTTTTGGTCTAAATGTTCCTCCTCTGAAAACATACTGCCTTTTGGTGAAAGGTGGTGAGTAAGGGCATTCAATGAAATCGTTTGATTAAACTTTCCTATGATGATTGGTTATCTGTTTCAAAGTAGTAGTGTTATTTGGTGAGGAGCAAATTTTTAATCCATGTTTTCAAAGCCATAATATTCACAAACCTTTTTAAAATTTTAAAAAATTTTTAGATCTTAAACCAATTTATTAAGTTGAAATCAATATTCACTCTGAGCCTGAAATTATTTCCACCAATAATGTGACAGCCAGTTTCCCCAACATTATTTCTTCTTTAGCTACAGACAAGCCCAGAATATGGTCAGGGAATGAATCCTATTAGCCGACTCGCCCAGATCCAGCAGGCCAAAAAAGATAAGGAGCCTGAATACATGCTTCTCACTGAGCGAGGCCTTCCACGGCGAAGGGAATTTGTTATGCAGGTAGGTGAAGGGAAGGGTTGGGCTTGGCTACCCTAAGGATACCAATTTTAATACATGAAAAAGTTGTTAATGAAGAGGTAGGTTTCTTTATTCTTCTTCCTGGTGCCTTTCTTCTGTCTTTCATAAAGTGTTTAACATATAGATGACAACTTGGATCTGTATCTTGTCCCTTATAGGTTTGCTGCCATTGCCACATGGCCCTTAAAAAGGACCACTCTTACATTTTCCTTAGTCTTTGTTTAGAGTTTGTTACCTAGTAGTTTATTGCTTCCCTGCATGTCTAGTCCTGTTCCTGAAATTGATGGTATATAGGAGGGTTTCACTGGGCTTAGTGAAATTCTGTCATGTGGGCAGCCTAATGTTACCTTATGTTTGGAGACTAGACACTCTTTGGGAGAAAACATTCTTTGAAATGTTTACTCACTTTTGAAACACCTTACTCTAATGTTATGTTGTCTCCTTGAAAGTCCCAATATAGGGATACCTCTTGAAACTCATTTAGTTGACAGTTCTAAACACTCTTTACTATTTACTCAGTAGGTTTTTGCCCCCACACCATCTTGAGCCTTTTGTCCATACATGGTTTCAGATTAGGTGAAACTGTTGTATCATTTCTTACATGGCCACAGCAGCAAGTCATTCAGGCTGTTTTTACCAGGGCATTTGGTAGACTCTAAATCGCCCTGTTTTTATACCCAGAACAACTTAGAGGTAGGGCTGATAGGCCATGAATGAAATAATCATTCTTAAAAGGTCAAAGTGGGAAAGGACTTTGGCACAGAACAGTGTGAAAGTTAGAACTAGAAAGGACCTTAAAGTTTTTTCCACCACTTCTTTCATTTTTTCTGTATTTGATGTGGTCTAGAGTTTGTGACTTCATAAAATGGAGAACAGCTTGGATAAAAATATAAACCTGCTCAACTTTCTCTGGTTATTTGATTCGTTCTCAAACCAACCATGGTTTGATTTTTGCACTAAACAGTTAACTGCAGTTATGTTACTTGACTTTGTGCAGGTCAAAGTTGGTGGCCACACTGCCGAAGGAATGGGCACAAATAAGAAGGTGGCAAAGCGCAATGCAGCTGAAAATATGTTAGAAATCCTAGGTTTCAAAGTTCCCCAAGCCCAGCCCCCCAAGCCCGCGCTAAAGACGGAAGAAAAGGTAACCATCTGTATGTTGATATCTCTTTCTGTCATCCACAGACATGTAATCTCCATCTCTAAGGAGACTTATCAGTAGGGACCAATATCAAATAAAGTCCTTGAGGAAGTCATAAAAAAAATCAGAAACATGGTCAAACAGTTGTTTTAACATCTCAAGCATGAGAATGTAGTCCGAAGTAGGATGATATCTTTCAAGTGTCTACAAACTGACTGTGAAAAATTGTTTATGAATTCTTATCCTTGTTTAGTATCTTAAAGGCACCAGGCAGTTGTTTAAAAGAGATTCTTCTCCTTTGCTTGTAAAGTGGTGGATAATTGTGCTTGAAATTTGTGTGAGATTTAGCCTCTTCTTAACATGTAGAGGTAGAATGCCAAAGTGGATAAAGAACTAGCCTCAGAGCCAGAAAGACTTGGGTTCAAGTCCTACCTCACACTCTAGCTTTGTGACCCTAGTTGAATCACTTAACCTTGAATGGTTCTAGGAAATTCTCTAAGACTAAACTGCAGAGAAGGTTGTGTCCTGCACTGACAAAGGAGGTTCCCTCTATCAATGAAGTCACAGGTCCAGTACCAATCCCTGTCCCTCAAAGGAAAGTGTGCTTAGGAGACTGATTAACGTGAGGCTTAAATTAGTGAATGAGCTAGACTTGATTTTCTAGAACACAAATACAGTGTGATGTTAGATTTGGAAAAGAAGGCACAGATTTCTAGTGTTTTGATGTGGAATTTTTCTCCCCTAATGCAGGTTGCCTGGTGCTCAGAAGTATCAGGTGAAAATAAAGTCATGCTGGAAATTTTCAGTTGTTCACAGGAATGGGCAAGCTGCACTTCCTAGTGAAAACCTCTGTAGTTTTCTCCTTTAAAATGTTTGAATGGTTTTGTCAGGATGACCCTGAAAACACCGTTTTGGTTCACTTGTGCTCTGCACAGCTCTGAGAACAGTCATCACCTGCTGCTTTACAAGAACAGAGGCCCCAAACTGCTTTATTATAATATACCCTATCTAAATGTTGGCTTTGCTTTTAAGAATTTCCTGCCAAAACTTGTAAGGATTGATTTGTCATTAATTGCCAAGAAGGTGGGAGCCCTTCCATTTTGACTGCATTTTAATCTGTATCTTTGACAATTCAGTCATAGAACATAAACTGTCAGAGCTGGAAGGGCCTCTAAAGATCATCTAGTACAATCACTTCATTTTGTAGATGAGGAAGCTGAGGCCCCTATAAGGGAAATGACCTGTCCAGTCACACAGAAAATTACTGATAGCTGGAACTTGAACCCTAATTTCTAGCCTTCCCATCCAGTGCTTTTTCCACTACACCACACTGCCTTGTTCTGTTTGAAACAGTATCTTACTTTCATCTCAGTTGGGATGGTGATGTTAGTCCCAGAATGTTCTTTCATTTATAAATTAAGGATCAACCTAAAATTTTCCTTTCCATTAGTGTGACTTCACATTATTTGATTATCTTTTGGCTCCTTTAGATTAAGTTGTCCATTTCTTACTGCTCTTTCTTTGAATACCATTGTTTAGCATTTCAGGGTTAAGAGAAAACTACTTTATATATAGCTCTGATGTCTGAGGACATGTAAGAAAATGTGAGTTTAATGGCTTTCTGTATTTATTTGAGAAATGCAGAATATATTGAGAAAATGTTTTAAGGCATGTATGGTCTTTACATTTTGTGGGAGAGTGAGATGGCTTATAATGGGTTTTACTGCATATGATAGTGGTGACCCTAAGCTCTTGCATATCTCTGGGTGGTGACAGAGAGCTGTGTAATTTAAAACTCCAAATATGAACCCAAGGGACATTGTTAAACTTTGACATGTAAATACCAGAAGCTAGTTTTTCCTCTGTACAGTCAAATTCTACAGAGAAATGCTATTGGTTTGTGTTTCTGACTTTGTTTTTTTAAGACCCCAGTAAAGAAACCAGGTGATGGAAGAAAAGTTACCTTTTTTGAACCCAACTCTGGTGATGAAAATGTGACCAGTAAGTGTGACCTCATTGGAATTTTGAAATGGATTGGCCTGATTATGTGAATATTGTATTTTGTGGAGGGGAAAAAGGAAGCATCAGTTAGAATTACTTTATGATTTATACTTAAGTTTATCTCTCCCCACCCCTACCCCCCACCCTCCCCCAAGACTCTCACCACCTCGTGCTGGCCTTTGTCATTGGGACCTTTTGCTTCATTGATTGATTATACTTTAGTTAAGCATCAGTTTCAATGGTCTCCTTTGCCTCTTTCTTTGTCTTTATCCTCATTTTCTCTTACATGCTATACTGTAAAGAATAGTTTGAATACCTGTTGTTTCTTCTTGCCTTCTTTTCACCCTTTTTTCCCTTGCACTAGGGATCTGAAGACCTGAGGTCTAGTCCTGGCTCTCCTATTAACTGGCCTGTGACCTTGGGCAGGTCCCTTCCCTTTTCAAACTTCATTTTCCATAAAATGAAGTGATTAGATGAATGAATCTCTTCCCCAGCTATACTATTATAAGTTCTGTGTTCTAAGGTCTCATCCAGACTCTGACATGCTATAACACATGTGCATATATACATACATGTACTATATCTCAGAGAGGAACAAGAAGTGATTTTTCAGGGATTTGTTGCCTTCTCTTTCTCGAGTTCATTCCCACCATTCCTTTGTTTCTGTTATATCTGTATTTGAGATTGTGAGTCAATTTGGCAAGCAAGTAGCATTGCTGATCCTTGGGTTTGTATAACATCTTAGATATTTATTGGTGCCCAGTCTATATATGATAACACATATACATTTTATTCCATATGATTTTATGTGCATGTTGCCACTTTGATGTTTCTGTGTGTCTATCATGCATTCAAGTTTGATGGATGTTCTGAACTTATGTATGTGTCACCCTAGGTAATAAGGAAGATGAATTTAGGATGCCTTATCTCAGTCATCAGCAACTTCCAGCAGGGATTCTTCCCATGGTGCCTGAAGTGGCACAGGCGGTAGGAGTCAATCAAGGACATCATACCAAAGAGTTTACCAGGGTAGCTCCAAATCCCGCCAAGGCGACAGTCACAGCCATGATTGCTAGAGAGCTATTGTATGGGGGGACCTCCCCCACAGCGGAGACCATTTTAAAGAATAACATCTCCTCAGGCCATGTCCCCCACGGGCCACTCACCAGACCCTCTGAGCAACTGGATTACCTTTCCAATGTCCAGGGAATCCAGGTAATTATTTTTGAACCACACCCCATGTAATTGTCTTGTCCTATCTTCCCAGCTTGTTAGGGAAGAGGAACTTTTTAAAGTTTATGGAGCTGTTTTGGTACCACAAGGACTTATTATAAAGATTCCTTTCTTCAGGGGAAAGGCTGAGCTAACTTTAACTTCTGCCTTGGCCTAGACTCTTAAGAATTTTTGCTCAGCTTTTAGAGGAAGTACTTTGGGTCTGAGAAAGAAAGAATTAGAAAAATGTCACATCACTTGGTTACTGAGAGGGAGTGTAGTGCCTTTGAAAAAATAGACAGGCCTTCTGGAGAAACTGAGCCTTTGATTTATTGGCCTTCTTACAACTTAGCCCTTTGAAAGGAGCAGTTTTGATAATGTTGACATTGTTTGCATATGACATTTCCTTCACTGAAATGAAGAAATGATTCCTTCTTTCAGACTTGGAGAAATTAGTAGATATTAGGATCCCTGAGAGGTATTTCTAGGCCCAGGAGTGATTGTGTCTTTGAGGAAATCACTCTCTCAGGGAGGAGAGTATAGCCAGAGTAGGGGTAATGGCCTGGCCAAGTAGGGAGGAAGTATAGAAGGATTGCAGGTCTCATTGAGGACCAAGAGTATGTCTAGAAAGGATTAAGCATAGGGAGAGATGGCGTAATTGAACTGAAAGTTAATTTATTGAACAAGTAACAAAGCTATACTGTTCTCAGTGAAGCTCCTACTATAATAGGAAACTTAGAGGTAGTTAAAACTGCTCACAAATTCTTGAAAATACCCAATAGTAGGGGCAGCTAGGTGGCACAGTGGATAGAGCACTGGCCCTGAAGTCAGGAGGACCTGAATTCAAATGTGGCGTCAAATACATAACACTCACTAGCTCTTTGACTCTGGGCAAGTCACTTAACCCCAATTGCCTCATCAAAAAAAAGGGAGGGAGGGAGGAGGAAGGAAGGAAGGAAATAAATACCTTCCAGTTAAGTATTGTATAAAAATATTAAGTCCTAAAATGATAGATTTGAACATTCATCTAAGAATGTAGAGATTTCCTACTCAAGGAAATACCTTATCAGAAGAATGGGAAATCCATTAATTTCTTTTGCATTAAGGAATCATATGGTAGAAGAGGTGTGTGGTATGAGAAAAAGAATAAAGAGAAGAGGAAATCACTTTCTCCTCAGCAACAGCAAAAGTAGCCTATAGGGAATGATTTGGTGCTAATGACGGTTGCAATAGTGTATATGATGGTGGGTGAAAATATTTGTGTCTTGTTCTTGACTTCTTCCTGACCTAGTCAGCCTTAGTGACAGTATGGAGATGTAGCCAGAGTAATGCAGTTGTGATCTCTCTGGCCCAAAGCACTTGTCTCATCTTTCTTAGTCTCTTATGTGCGACTAGCTAAGACCTGCACAGGTAATTTTTTAGTTGTCCTTAGGAATGACAGTAATTTTTTGTTGTTGGCCTTTTTAGGTGGAATACAAAGACTTCCCCAAAAACAACAAGAATGAATTTGTCTCTCTTATAAATTGCTCCTCTCAGCCACCTCTGATCAGCCATGGAATTGGAAAGGATGTGGAATCCTGCCATGATATGGTATGTTAAATATTTAAGTGGCTTTGTCTGTTCTCTGGATGGCCCTTTTGATTGAATATTAAATAAGTGTAGAGCTGTGAATTAAAAAGGCCAGGTGCTATCCCACTTATTTCAGCTAGTAATTGACCTCACATTTACTTTGAAAGTCTATTCTCTTCATAATTCCATCTCTTTGCAGATTCCTTGTTCATGCAGAACATTACCCCAAGGACACTGTACCTCCTGAGTTGGTTGTTCAGATTCTGATTCTGTTTCCTACACAGAATTAATCCACTTTTGAGCTGGCTAAAATGCAAACATTTCTGAGGGGAGAGTTGTTCCTCTTGGTACAAGCCTCGCACTTGGATGAGAACTATTTTTTTGCTGTTTCCTCCTTATATACCTGTTTCTTTTCCTTCCACACACTACTTCTCCTGTCATTTATGACTTTGGAATCAGTTGTCTTGAGTCATAATGGTCCTAGACCAGTGTCTAGCCCTTTGTTAACCCTTAGGAACCTCTTAACTCTTACCAGAATTAGTCAGTTCCTAGCAGTGGCATCAGCTGGAATACCTGGTGCTGCCAGTGAAATCCCTTTTGTACTTAATTTGCCTGAAGAATCTGTGGTTTCCTTAGTGTGAGTGTCCTTCCTACCACACTTTGGTAGACAGCTTTCATGAGTTGACATGTCTGCCAAAAACAGTGACAAAATGAAAAAATCCTAGTGATAAAATCCCTGGGGATGAGCTTCTTTGAACTTAGAGCTGGTCAGGCCTACATCCCAAAGCAAAAGACCCACCAGAGCTTATGGCCCATCTTGAACAGTCTCAGGCCACCTCCTTACCACCATGAAGATCACAGTAGAACAACCTTTAAATTGGAAAACGGTGAGTGATAAAGGTTCTTTCGCAAACTAATCTTAAGTGGTTGCTGCCCAACCTGACCAGTCACAGTTTGAAGTGATTACCATTCCCTATTTGAAGGTTATTAAGCCTTATAGTTAATGAGAAACATCCTTCCTCTCCCTTCTCTCTTCCATTCCACAGGCTGCACTGAACATTTTAAAGTTGCTGTCTGAGTTGGACCAACAAAGTACAGAGATGCCAAGAACAGGAAATGGACCAATGTCTGTGTGAGTGAGTTGTTACTATGGGAAACAGCCTTTGCTCCCCTCACACTAACTCCCATAGTTCCTTGGGCTTTATCAGATCATCTGCTGGGGAGTGATCTTTCTCCCTTTCCCTAGAGAGTCCTTTTCCTTCTTAAGTAGAAAGTGCTATAATCAGCCTCTACCATGAGCCCAGGCCTAACTGCTGGTCTTCCTGTATGTTTTCTTTTGTTTGTTTGTTGTGTTGTGTTGTTTTGGTTTTTTTGCTCAGGAACTAAATGAATCATGTTTCATTACTGGTGCCTCATGACTTCTTTTGTTTTGTTTTTCTTTTAAGGTGTGGGAGGTGCTGAACCTTTTCTGGCCACAAACCACTTTAAAAGTTCAACATATATACTGAATATACTGAAACTGCTTTGCAATTTTGGAATTTCTGATGCCTACAATGGGCGGAGAGATGTGGTGAATGATGAAATGGAGAAGGCAGTAGTGATGAGAATGGAGACAAACAGGAAGAGGCTGATTGTGAACTCTTGTGGTTTCTTCTGGTGGGGCCAGACAGGAGGTGGCAGGGGGGAGTTCTGACAAGAGCTGAAACCATGCACAAGCTACTGCTTGGACACGGTCCTGGGGAAGGAGGGCCAAGGGAAGGGAGATCAGCCCTCGGGCTCCTGCATTAAGTCCTCCTGCCTCAACTAGGAAGTCATTGTTCATCATCCTGGAGTCACATGGTCTTCTTCAGTGCTTTGTCTTGTGTTTGTATAGATGTGTGAAACCAGAAAAGGAAAGCAATCCCCTTCGCAAACTGGCTAACTCAAACCTTTAGGGACAGACACTGGACAGCAGTGCCTGACAGGCATTAGACTTGACCCAAGTCTGAAAGCACCAGAGAAAATCAAATGCTTCCTATTCAGTGTAACCTGTTATAGAGTGAGTGCTGCAGCCCTTCCATCTTCCTGTAGTTACTGAAACCATAACCATTGCTTTATCCTAAGACAGTGACACATTCTTAGTTTCCTTTTTTTTTGTTTTGATTGAAACGACACTATGTTTTTTTTCATTTGAAAGTTTCTCAATTGTATCTAGTTATATAGCACAGTTTAGAAACTTGTCTGAGACTGACGTTCTCTGTAAACTAACCTGCAAAGATCATATCCGTGTATGTGGCTATACATTTTGTTTCTATCGGAATAGCCTAGCACCATTCCGATAATTTGTGTGCCATCCAGTTTAATGTCCCAGATATCTATAGAGATATGTATATATGTACACATATCCATATATATATATCTATATATAGAACCTTGATGAAGTTGCCCAATGGTTATGTAAATTGGACATTTTAGTAATTTTAAGCTTCACACGATCATTTGGTTCATTTACTATTTCCTTTTTTTTTTTGTTAAACACAACAGAACTTAAAATAAATGAGTTTTGATTTTTCTTTTTAAAGATTATTAAAAAAAAAATGTGTGTATATATTGCTCTCTGTGGCACACAGCTTTCACAACACTACAGGATATGATCTCAGTGTAGTACATATAAAAACTGCAGATTGATTTTCCTTGAGTGCTTTATACTGTTGAATTACATCTCCATGTAGGGCTGAAAAAAATTAACGATGTTTATATATAAAACTGTGTTGCTTTTGATGTTGTGTTATTGTGCACAGAAATGTGTGCAGTAAGTTTTTGCATATGGTCCAGGTAAAAAAGCACGGTCGCCTTGCAAGTTAAGTACTGCTTCAGTTCATTGTTCACGCTGGAAATTTTTTCTCCCCATGGAATGTAAGTAAAACTGAGTGTTTGTCACCAATAAATGGTCATACTAAATTTTTTTGGTTAATTTATTCTTGTATACTATTGTTGCTGGATTGCCTCCCCCTTCCTTTCCCTCCTTAGGGGAGTGGAGGGAAGGATCTGTAATGCTAATGTAATTCATTCTGGCCAGTAATCAGAAGGTCTGAAATAACTTTATATAAAAAACATTGATCAATAAAACTGCAACTAATGAATCCTAGTAATCTCGAGCAGTCACTAAAGAAAGGGAATGCAGAAACTTGTTTCTGGATCACAAACCTCATGGGTCATTGGACTCTGATGTTATTGGATGTGCAGTTGTAAATAGGGCAGCACAAACTTGGGATCACTTCCTCCCTAGGCTCTTACTTCTGAAGGTCCTATTACTTCCCTTCCCCTGAGGCCACACAAACACTGGGATCCTTCTAGGGTCTGGGAGGCCTCAGGTGTATCACAGCGGCATGCAACTACATTTGTAGGGGAGGAGAGTGAGCTGTACCAGAATGGGGCAGCCCCACTCTTTGTCCCTGCCCTTACTGAATTTGTCCTGGACACCACAATTGCTAGTTACAAATCTGGGAATGTGATTGGGAAACATTGCTGAAGATTTGCAATTTCAAAATCAAATGTGGGTTAACTTGGAAGAACAGATTGAGCCACTTGAGGGAGCTGTGATGGCTGCCATATTTCTACCCTAAGTTACCATCTTACCCTCAAAGGTATAGAACTACACTAGAAACTCACTATCTGGAGAAATAAATTCACCTTTGACTTCATAAGATGTAAGCTTACATTTGTATAGTGTTATCAGTTATGAAGCAGATAGAAGGCAGCTCATCATTTGATACCCATTCAAGGTGTTGGATTTATTTTAAACAGGAAGCAGAAGGACCTTGTTAATACGTTCCACTAACAAAGAGTTAAAGTGAATAATTAACCCAGTAACTTGGTTTAGATCCTCTACAACAGATTGATGGTAAAACATGAGTGCAGAGATCTGTGAGGGTAAGGACTTGCCCACCCCAGGGAAATGATGGATCATTTAAAGTATCTGAACTCCAAATCATTCTGTACTCACCGATTCTTAGTGAGAGCATATGTTGACGCTCGTAGACTATGCGACAATGTCAGTGGTCTTGCTCCACTCAACCAGGACTCTACTAGCTCTTATAACATCCAGCATTAGACTGTACCTTTGATAAGCCATGAGCGTATCTTTTCTCTTTTTTCTTGCTTATTTAAACACTTATTTTGGTACTTAATTGCAGAAACTATTGGAGTGTACTAAATGTTTTCTAAATTATATTAAATTGATTTTGAGCATTGTATGCAAAATGTATGGTTGAAGGGGTTTTATTTAAAATTTTTTTTTTAACAAAACCAGAATTCTGTAAAGCAAGTTTAGCGTGGTATTTTTCCAAGATGACAGATTTTTTTTACATCTGACTTGTAACCTCTGGCTAATTGCTGTGATATAGAAAGGATAAGCTTCAAGGCGGAAGAGAAAACAGGTTTCATTTATTTTTCTTAACTTACTACAGTGATGTTATTTTTGAGTTTACAAAGATGTGGGTAGTACAAGTTAGTCCCATTTTCAGATGAGACTGAAAGCTCAGTGAGGGGAATTAACTTGTTCAAGATCACACAGTAATAAAGGAAAGCTAGGACTTGAACCAAATCTCCTGACTTCTTTTTTTTATTAGGAAAGGATGTGAGAGGGACAGCTAGGTGGCGCAGTGGATAGGGCTCTGGCCTTGAAGTCAGGAGGACCTGAGTTCAAATGTGGCCCCAGACATGACACTGTGTGACCCTGGGCAAGTCACTTAACCCCAATTGCCACACACACACACAAAGGAATAGTAGGTGGAACTGAATCTCTAGCTCTTGGTTTTAATTTTTATTGATTTTCTTTTTAAACATCACCTTAATTTTAAATATATACCTTCTCCTTCCGCTACTCAATTTGGCTCTTGCTTTTTAAATTCCCAGTAAGTCCCAGGGTGACCTCAAACATAAATTATATTGAATATTTTGCCTCTGGAGAAGGTCATTTCTTAGTCAAAGTGCAGGGCTATGGCAATATTTGAGGCTTGGTTATAATACTGTCCCAGTCCTGCAGAATCCGCATTTGAGAACTCTCTGAAAACTGTATATTCTGCCATCAATCATTAGTCCAACTATGATATTATCTCTGTTACAGGTGTGTAAACTCAGGGCATCTCCTACCTGAAATGATGAGTACTTCTGGTCAACTCAAGAAACACACAACAGAAGGTCAAGAGAAGGGCATCTGTGTGGGTCAAGGGCTGTGGTGACAAGAAGGGGCTGCTCCATGAGGACAAAATAGTCCTTAGGATTCTTCTGGAAGTCATCTAAAGTAACCCCAGCAAGGACATACTTAGAGCTTATAATCCTGGTATAGTAGAATTAGATGTCTTTAGAACTTGAAAGACAAGTTTATGACAAAAAAGATTTTTTTTTACACTGGGCAATAAAGTTATTGAATATAGAAGGCTAGAATCTCAAGCTTAGAAGGAACTACAGAGGTACTATACATTACCAGCAACATCCACATGGTTTACCTCGATTCTAGCAGAGTACTCGACAATTTTATTTCATGTGACTGGAACACGAGAGAGAGATATGTGTGGCCTAAAGTACAGGTGAGGTGGATTTGGAATTGGTCTGACGTATCCAGTGAACAATCTCTAACATTCACGATCTCTGCTGAGCCATATGCTGTTAAGACGAGCTTTATCAGCGCCTTTTATCAAGGCAGAGTTGGCATATTCATCAAATTTCCTGGGCACCAGCTTTTTGTATGAGAAGATTAAAAAAGATCTCGAATACTGAACTGAATTTGATATGCTAAAATTTAATGGGGATATTTAAAATATAAGATGGGGAAGGTGTGGTTAGAAAGCAGTTCAACTGAAAAAGGTCAGTGGAAAACAAGCTTACAAATGAGGAAGCAGGGATTGAGATGGCAGCCAGAAAAGCTATTTCCAGAGCAGTAAGAGGCATAGTGTTCAGGAATAAGTCTGGGTGTGGTTTGCCTTGGTCACACATCTGGAATTTAGGGTGCCACGCTTCACAGAAAGGGCTTTGAGAAGGTGGAGAATCTCCAGAGCAGAATAACCAGGATCATGGAGGACCTCAAGATGTTGCAAAATAAAAAGATTAGTTGAAGGAACTGGGGATGATTTTGTTGTTTTAGTCATGTCTGACTCTATTCCCATTTTGGCGTTTTCTTGGCAAAGACAGGGAAGTGGCTTGCCATTTTCTTCTCCAGCTAATTTTACACACGACGAACTTGGGCAAACAGGGTTAAGTGACTTGAGCAGGTGTCTGGGGCCAGATTTGAACTCAGGGAGATGAGTTTTTCTGGTGCCAAACCCAGTGCTCTATCCTTTTTGCCACTTAACTGCCTAGAGGGCAGAAAACTTCTAGGTGATAGCAAAGCAGTTTTCAGACAGTTAAATGACAGTATTTTAATACCCAAAGAACAGAAAGAAAAGCAATGAATGAAGTTGCAGAGAGAGGTTTAAGGTTGCTTTTATGAAAAACTTCCTATAAATTAGAGCTATCACAAAGTGAAATGAACTGACTGCAAAGACAGTGGATTTCCCTTCATGAGAGATCTTTGAGCAATGGTCACCTTTCAGGTCTGAGTTAAGAGTGGCTGGCTTTTGGGACAACCAGAATACTGACTGTATTTCCACATCAACCTTTAGGTATATTTAAATGATAGCTATTGTGTCTCTTCTAAATCTTTCCAGGCTAAGTATCTCCATGACCAGAATATTGAGATTGGTGGCCCATGGAACTAATAATGTAAAGCATTTATAGCATTCTTAGCTTACTTTGCACCATCCAATTCATCTTCTTATAGGGGACTTCTAATGTACCTTATTCTATTTAAGGACATATGTGAACCTTTTGACTACAGCCTTGGAATGTTTTTTCTATTCCTTTCAAAGCTTTTTCAGTGCCCTGTCTACAGTCTTCCTATGCTTAATTGTGCTAGCCAGGGATGAATGTAGAATGGTGAGGGCTTGGATTCATATGATCCCTGAAGGCCCCTTCAAGTGATATGGACTATTCAGAGGGATGGACCTAAGCTCTAGTGTACTATAGTAAATGAGCAATAGAATAAAAATGCTACAGTTCTAAAGCCTTCTTATCATTGTGCTTTGCTCACCATTTGGTGAACTTAAAAGAGAATCTAAACCCCAGGTTCCCTTTTTACACATGTGAAAACCTCCAAGTGCATGTGATATTTTAAGGTTCAGGCTGATGGTCTCCGGATGTGCCCTTAAACACAAAACCAGTTTGGATGTCACATTGAATTGGACTTTACCATTTACTTTTGCAGTATGTCAGCTTGCTAACTGACTTCATAGGTAATATGTACCAAAGGGCAGGAAATGTAAAACATGCTTCAGATCACTTGAGCATAAATGCAGATTTTGCCTTGACTACCTCACAGGGGTATTATAGACAACATTATACCAATTTGTTACCTTCTCTAGACAAAGTGGGGCTGTTTTAATTTTCTGTTGTCACTCTCGTAGAACCATCCTATAGATAGATAGATAGATAGATAGATAGATAGATAGATAGATAGTTATATTGATATGAATTATTAAATGGAAAGAGGCCAAGAGGGTGGTGGGCTTTGGAATTTGAGTGCAGATCATAAAAGTTTGTTTTTAAACAAGGAATTGTACGTGAAATTGTACATTTAGCTTAGTTTGTGTTCAATTTAACATAGTAGCCAAAGCATTTGTAGCCAAAAACTGCCCTGCTTGTCTATGCCCCCTTCTGGATTTCCTTAAGCTCTTTTCTGTGTATTTTTTTTTCCCCGGGGTGGGGGGCAGGCAATTGGGGTTAAGTGACTTGCCAGGATCACACAGCTAAATGTCAAGAGTCTGAGGTCAAATTAGACTCCAAAGGTCAGTGCTGTAGCTACTTTTTCTGTGCATTTTTAAACATAGTTCATTGGTTCTCTTTCTGGACTATAATTTCTCCTCATCTGGTTGGCTTCAGTGTTGCCAGGAGAACATGGGGGAAGGTCATGTAGCCCTACCTTCTTCTGAGGCAGTGGCAAACATCAGCACCCTTGGTATGGAGAGTTGATCCAAATTGTTGATAACACTTATAGCTGGCCTCATCATATATTACTGGTATCAGTAAGTATTTCCAATACCTGCTT